TGCAGCCAGATACACAGCAGCACTAAGCTCCATTCTGGGAAACCAATGCATCTAAAAAAAGTGCAGGGCTGTTTTATTTTCCTCTAACTGTTGGAATGGAAATACACTGCTGTAGTTTTTACAGGGCTTAACCCCTATGAAAAAATCGAGCGCACAGCAATTATCACTGCTCTTTTGCATTCGTTAAGGCAAAACATATCCACATACAGTAAACTACATCCTTAGCCATTTTACTTTAATACTATGTGTGATTTTAAAGCAGAGAAGGTGTAAAATGAGCAGCAAATCACTTAACCACAGATTACCCATAGGGGTTTATGCATTTAATAGCAGATCTTCTTCTATTCATATGGGAAAAAAGTGCAAGCGTAACATGCTACTATGGAGCAAGAACACTGGATCTAAAGGTCACTGTAAACTGCTTTGCAAGCCATGGTATTTCTGGCACTGACTAAAGTATCTACACAATTAAAATTAAATAAATACTGTGATTAGACTTAGAGGGCTTTGGTTTTGTTTCCTTTCCACTTGTACTAGAAAAATATTCACTTGCTGTAATATTGACCACAACTTAACCCTTCCAAAGTAGAAGTCAGATACAAGGTGTGCAGCACCAAGGAACCCCGATTTCCAGCACTAAAGAGTTAAAAAAAAAAATCTGAGGCTTATAGTAATTTTTTATGTCTTTGGAAATTGTTGCAGGACTGTGAACATGAAGTGTAAAATACTACTGAGATGATTAGTACCCAAGTAATGGATAACGCTACATAAACTTCTCAAAATATCTTCCCTCTCAGATTCCGCAAGAGCTACAACAACTCCTGCAGATGCCTGGTGGGTTGGGTTTTCTTCCTCTCTTTTTCTTTTCTTTTTTTTTTTTTCTTTTTTTTTTTAATAATGCAAAACATTTTGGGAAACCACCTGCTATAGTTTCACTGTAACTCAGTTTGACTACAGGGAAAACATGGGTCTTTACTGAAAGAGCACATACGTGAACGACACTATTACCTACAAATAAAGGAGCACTTATACAGGTCATTCCACAGTATTAGTCAAACTGGTAATGCAGAACTCACTCGCTTCACCACTGACCTGAGCCTTTGTTAGGACAGTTTGGATAGCGTTGTTTATACTGCTGCACACTAGGATTTACTTTCTTTAAACCATCTTTTTGGAATTCAGCCAAATGAAAAATAAAAAAGGGAAAAAAGAAAAAAATATTCAATTACATTTAAAGGGAATGGAAACAGTCCATTTAACTTAAATGGTATTTTAAAATGTTTCTATTTATTCCCACTAATTGCTTTATTTTTGTAACATACAATTATCTTCTCTCCAAGTGGCACTTGGCTGAAGAGCACCAAAAATCCACGTCAAGTGGTATTTTCAGATGAACTCTGCCCTCCTCCAGAATCAGCTCTTTTTGCAGTTGTTGACAACTTTACCAAATGGTCCACAGTAAAATTCCTAACTCTGCCAAAAGCAGAATTAAGCAAACAGCATCTTCTAATTTTAAATGAGCACAGATTCTAATTAAAGCCATTGTAATAGATCTAGAAAGGGCTGGTGGCAATTGAGAATGTAAAGAGATAATTTCAGAAAATAAAACCAAAAAACTAAGGCATAAGGCAAAAAATATTAATAATGGAAACTGCACAGGTGAGTGATCAAGATTTTCATTTATATATAAAATTCTCATTATTTCAAATATTATAATGCTAAACACTAGAACTTGAAAATGTAAGTACAATAAATGTACTGACTGCCTCTTTATTAGTGAGCCCCCAAAAAATCCCATTTACTTTAATAAATGAATATTTACTTTTTATATTCACCCTACACAATAAAAAATTATACTAATTAAAATAAATAAAATGTTAAAAAATAAGTTGGTGTGCTATCATATATGCCCTTTTCAATGGAGAGGATCAGAACTTACACACAAATGCCACAAGCAATTTGTAATCCATAAAATAATACTGATCATAAACCTATTACAGAATTAAACTACAGTTAATCTAATAAAATACACAGTAAATTTAAAAATTAATTTAAGCAAGAAACATATTTGATGAGTTCCAGCCTTAAATCTGAGTAAATCAGACTCTGAAAGTTGATGGAAAAATGTAACAGGAATGAAAAAATTCAAAAGTACTAGTGTCGTAAGTATGTATAATTTCCTATAGACCAAACTGCTGTCTGTAAATCCAACTTACATGGTGTAAACACGGAGGGTCCAGAATGGCAAATACTGACTTGGGACTGTAACTATAATTACTGCTCTCATACTGCTACTGGACAATAATGAAAAAACCAAGAGTGAATTTAAAATTAAAAAAAAAAAAAAAAAAAAGAAAAAAGAAAAAGAAAAGAGTAGCAGCAGAACTGGGTATCTATGTATTTTAAGGATTAACTAATCACCTGACTTAGGGTTGAAATCACCAAAAGAAAAAGTATACCCTGCAAAAACAAGCAGTAATTGCCTATGTGGAAAACCAACTTCTGTAGCGCACATATTAAACAGATGTATTGCGAAATTTTAAGCAATGTGGACCAGTAATGATCAGCAAAAACTGATTTAACCTTTATGCAAATATTGATTATTGAAAATAATATGCATTCGTTACAATCTTCCTATTTAAAAATGAAAATAAAATTTCTGATAAAATAAATAGCTGAAGTGTGATTACCACTAATCTTATCTGTAGGAAAATCTTCTCATTATGCAAGCATATCTACAGTGCCCTAAATGTCAGAATTAAATACATGTCGCTCCTTTAAATTGGAAATTACACTTCAATGGTATCATATCCTACAGTGATATATATACACACACAAATACAGGCGATTCTCCTTGGTTCAGTTCTATAAAGATGTTTCAGCATCCACATATTTCACAACAGGTGAATCTTCCACATGTATTTTCACACTTTCTGGTTTTTCAGTGCTGTTTGAAAGTAAAGAAGGAAATATAAGGTTTGGTTCACTTAAGTAAAGATTAACTTTCAAACATTTTCTACCTAACTACGAACACCGAAAGTATTTATGTAAATACATTTTTAATGATGCATTTCTATTACATTCCAGTAATTGTTAAATACTATTCACAGGAAAAGTATAAGCTTAAAGAAAGAAATCACCAAGATCGCACCTATAAATTCCATTTCCAGTCCCACTGCTTCTTTTATTTATTCAATTGATTTTAAATTGTTTTGCAGAACAACTTGGGGGGGGGGGGAGCAGGGTGTGGAACAAACAGCCACATACACACCACAGAGAAAATCCAAAAAACTGTTTAGTTAAAAATAATCAAAAATACATAACGAGCGATATTATTAATACTGCTTAATTCTTGGGCAAGGAAACAATTCTGCTCACAATACAAGACTGCGGAAACATTTCAGTATTTGCAAAATGGGGAACCACACTTGTAACAACAGTAGAGGACATTTAGAAATCTGCCTAAGTGTCCATTCAAGTGGAAAACCCTTAAGACATAGGTGGCACCTGAACAGTGACTTATCTAAGGACAGAAAGGAATGTCCAAGGCAGTCACAGGACAGAAGAAGAGAAATTGGCACAGCATGAGAGGAAGGATTCTCTGGGCATGAATTTTACAAGAGAGAACACATCTGTGGAGTTGCTCTTCAAGGAATAAAAAAAAAAAAAGTATTAGAAATTCATGCGAATAGAAAAAATTCTGTAATTCCTTAGAAAATGTAAGTGTGCCTGGACTCTGCTGAGTCTATAAAATATGACAGATAGTGGAGTGAAAAAGAACAAGCAATCTAGAAAATAATTTTTTTTAAAAAGACAAGATTTCTAAGTAATCGTGCTGACCCTCACAACATGTCTGGAATTCCAATTGCTTGCTTCAAGCTGCATCCTACTTGAAACCTATAAATCTGAAAATAGCAGTGACTACGGAATCATTTTTACCACAGCACTAAATACCTGTCCATACTATCAAATGAAGACTGTTACACAAAAAAACCTTAATGGAACTGAGATGAAAAATTTACTGTGAATTACTTTTTACTGAGCAGTGGTGACATCTCTAAATCTCTCCAGCACCCATAATAGAAGAAAGGGTAGCAAATACTCCAAAACAGCAACCAGTTGAGTTAAGGTTCAAGAAAATCCTGCCTTCTAACATTTTTCCAGATTCATGCAGTAACAGGCAGCCTCTTGAAAGAGCTAGTTTCTGGCATGAGTGGTTTTTATTTTCAATTTGTAGTTTTAGCAAGTTCCCTTCCAAGATGCAATTTTTATCATACTGATCTCAAGCAGGGCGTGTTATGGAATCAAAAGGAAATGTCTTACAGCAAAATATAACACGTCAGAAGCCAAATTTACTAGTCCTGCATATAATTCTATACTACCTTAACCTAGGTTTCTGAGAACTTAACATGAAAGACAATAAACTATTAAAACACAAGGATATACCAGACACACATAGTGTTATCTGCCTAATGCCTCTGTTATCTGTCTTCCTGACAGTCTAGCTCGTGTGGTACTAAAGTTTTTAAAAATATTTCTTTAAATGTTTAAAACATTTATTTCAACATTTTAAAATGTTTAAACAATACAGGCTGAAGATTCACTGAGAATGATCCCTCCACTAATGAGTCTCTTCAGCTTTTCCTATTACAACACCTCCAAGCTCTCTCCTTGTCTCCTTCTTCACCCTTGGTTGACCCACTGTCTTGTCAAAATAAAGCATATTTCCACACCTAGTTTGTAGCAATGTACACGCTGAATAAATAGATCATATACAAGGGCTAAGTGGCCAATCACTACTGCTGTTTCCATGATGCAAGCCAAACAGCACCCAATAGCTTGGACAATTTATGTATGAACATTCCCTCACCACCAACTCTTCCACAGAGATGTAGTTTTGCACAATTTGATACTGCTGAAACCTGTCTTCCTTTGACATGTTTGGCTGAAAGGGATCAACCACAAGAAGATGCACATACAGTCAGCAGGATTGCATAAGCTTAGTTTTCAAAGTCAACCAGGCCCATTCTCCCCTCTTTCCGACATAAAAACTTCTAAGCAAGAGCATTGTAATGGAACAGTCCACAGATACCAGTCCCTACAAATTACAGGCCTTTCAGGAAGTTGGGGATATTCCATGTGAATATTCAGGATTTGGCTCATCTCCCTTGATAGATTTAGCCAGACTGGGAAGAAACTAGGATAGAATAGCAGAATGATCCATTGCACACAGACTTCCTTGTTTGATGGGGAGCTCACTGATAAAGAGGCCCCTAGCTGCCACAGAAGATGCACATTAGCTTACAGGAAACTTTTGTAGCACCAAGGACTCCTAATCTGTCCTGTACTTCATTCAAGTATGTTTCATATCTAGTGAAGATAAGATTTAATTTTTAGATACTAAAAATGAGCTGGGGAAAAACAACAAACCAACCAAACCACAAACACAGGGGGCAGATCCTAGGGCAGCGTAAAACAACAATGGAAGTGCTGGACATCTCTTTTATTCCCACCAGCATTTGTAATGTTCAGTATCAAACAATTCCCATGATCATAGACACTCTAGTAAAGCTTTTAGAAACCCTAAACCCATCAGAGCAGTATACAATTGTTATTAAGCAAATAAAGAGTAATTTAATAATTTTAATACTACATTTAATAAAATAATTGAAATTTCTCATAGAAATTTTAACTTCAGAGTAAAGAGCAAAAATTAAGTTCAAATTCAAGTTCCTCGAAAGTAAAGTCAGTGCAGATTACCAAATCATGTATGCTCATTTTTTTGAGATACATTTCAAGAAATCTAAGTACAGTTATTAGCTGCTAAACACAAGATCACAGTTAGAAAATGCATGAGTAATTATAGCTACCTCAGGTTAGCTCTGGTTACTTTGGCATTCTCAGTACTCATGGCAAGAGCCTTCCACTGTGCGGTTTTGGCCATTTCGTCTGATATGTTTACAATAGAGGGATCAATGCTAAAGAACAAACACACTTCCTGGTTAGTATTCAATACCTTGCAACAGCATTATACTTATGGTCACTCATCATTTACATCAGTTGTGCCTTCTTTCAATATTTACGCAGCCACAAGTTGAGTTCCTCTCCCGAAAACTTATTTCAACAAAAATTTGAATATTTCATTCACTTAATGATGCCTTAATCACATCACATCTTAAAACAGTTTTTCACACAGATACCACCTGTTCCAGTGTCTGACCACCCTCACAGTCAAGAATTTCTTCCTAATATCTAATCTAAACCTTCCCTCTTCCAGCTTAGAGCCATTCCCCCTTGTTCTGTCATTAACTGCCCTTGTAAAAAGTCCCTCCCCAGCTTTCTTGTAGCCCCTTCAGGTACTGGAAGGCCACTATAAGATCTCCCCGGAGCCTTCTCTTCTCCAGGCTGAACAGCCTCAACTCTTTCAGCCTGTCCTCACAGGAGAGGTGCTTCAGCCTGACAACTACGTTGGTTACATCCCCAGTAAGGGAGATAGAGACAAAATGCCTTCCAGTGCTGAAGGAACTTTCCATCAGTGAAACCTCCAAGCAGCACTTCTCTTTCGGGAAGAGAGACAACTGGTAATCCTGTCCTCAACATTCACTATCAGAAAATGACCTTTTAAAGTAAAAATGGCTGCCTGTAAAAAGGTTTTTTATATCACAGAAATTACAGACTTTAGCCCTCACTTAAATAAACCAAAGAACTACACACTTAAGACTTTTTCTGAAAAATCCAAGTGGTTGGTAAACACATGGCTCAACTGATGCTATTAGTTGCTTAATACTCAGCATTTCATGCACAGTAACACACAAGTATTCCACAAAAACTGACCAAGGAAGCTTCTTCACCTTGAGTACAGCTGGTCGAAACTGAGTCATCTGATCTGTTCAAGATGGTCATGTAAATTTACAATTAAGATGCAGCTTTAAAGAACAATGCAACATAAAAATGCTACTATAGCACCATGAGATATATCTTCATACTTCCTCATCATGTCTGAGTTACAAGCTTGGGAAAAAAATTAATTCAACTCATACACAACCAACTTAATAGGTAGAAAACTACAGCATGTGATACAAAAACTCTTAAAAGACCAACATTTTATTATACCTGTATTTTAGGGTTTTTACAGGAAAATCCAAATTTGTTTCTCCATAAGCAAGGTGCACACTTTCACTGTCCCCTGTTTGAAGCATTCTCTCTGCTTCCTGCAAATTCCAAGTAAAAAGTTTTTCAAATTACTCATTCAGCAGAAATCAAAGTAACTCATGCTGACAGCTAATTTTTATTGGAGTAAGGGGTATTTCTCTGTAGGTACTGGAGTTGAACACAGGAGATATAGTTTAAGACCTTTTTTCTTAGAAGTGTTTTATCCAGGTAGAAGGGATAGGGGGGTGGGGAAGGAGGGTGTTACAAGTTCTGTAAGAATTCAGCTAGCTCATGTACAGTTAGGTAAGACTTTTATGAAGAAGTTACACAAGGTATGTTACTATACTACTAGTAACTAGCAGTAGGTTTTAACTACAGCTCTGCAAACACACACAAGCAAAATGTCTCTGATATGATGAATAGTTTGTGATTAACATAAGCAGGGTAAAGATCCTTATTCCACTGCTTTTCTCTCCCTCTCCCTTCTCTCTCCTTCTAACCTGATGAAAGACAAAACAATATTTTGTGCTAAAAGTGCTTATTTCCACTTTGCTTGTTCATTTTAATCACAACTAAAAGTCGTAGTCCATAATAGCATCATTGAAACAGTGACTCTTCCTTAACATAATTGCCAGTAATAGTTCCTCTAGCACTGAATCTCATTAGTAAAGAATTTCAAAAAGTGTATTTGGTATATAAGGTCCTCAGGCCACTTAAAATCCTTTTAAGTCTTGTTGAGTATTTTCTAGTAATTTACAACATGCTTAGTTTCATTGTTTTCACACTTACTGCTTTCTCCTTTTTCTTTTTGTCATCTTCTTTCTTCTTTTTACTTTCTGGCATAAGATCATCAAGCCAGCTAAGCTCTCTTTTGGTAAAACATAAATCCATGAGCTTGCGAATGAACACTAATGCTAGAACCTTAAGGGAACCATAAATAGAATCATTTTCATTAAACTGTTTAAATGAACAAAAATGCACACACACTTTCAGTACTTTCAGAATTTCTAACTGAAGCCCCTTTTTGTAGTACTAGTTTTATCTTACCATGAAGTTAAATAATTTCCACTTTCAATAGCTATTTGCAACCAAATTGCTTATTTTCAGGAAATGAATTGTGTTTCAAAAACAAACAATTTGTACTACGGGTTCTTTTCTTTCCCACTCCCTTCTTTCTTAAGGCAGCAAATATGTTCTGAAGAGATCCTGGACAACGCACGTGTTGTTGGAAAATTATTAACTTGTAAAACAGAAAACTTACCATCATAGGGAAAACAACAGCAGCTGCAGAGGCTTTAATCACCCACAAGAGAACTAGACAAGTGAGCTGAACAACTGTAAAGATATGGACTTTCCAGAGTGGTACATAGCGTAGATAAATCAAGTCAGGTTGATGTTTGGCAGGCATTCCAAACAGTTTTATACGGTCAAAAAACTGCATTGAAAAATAAAATCATCCTTCAGTTAGCTACCTTCTTCCCCTCCAGAAGGAAATAAGTATTTTTAGGGGACTCCAGAAACCTAAATTAATCCCAAATAAAATACTAATGAAGGACACTTGAATACTCAAGGGGATGGGGCTGTGGGCTGTTTTATTTTGTTGGTTTTCTTTGCTCCTCTCATTACTACTACAAAACTGCACAATATTCCTGAAAATTTCTTGTTCAGCTACACTACTGAAAGAATAAATGCAAAAGAACTGGGAAGTGAAAGCATGATAAGGTAACAACAAATATCTGAACATGACACTCAGGAAATTATCCTACATGCTACTGAGACACTATGGGACAACTTTATCATTACTCACATAAAGTAATGTGTTACAGTTTCTAATTAATTTAGTGCTAAACAAAAGCAAACTGCTCATTAAAATCAGACTTTACCTGAATGCCTTTTAATGAAGATGCTCCCATGTAAAGAAAGACACCATACAAAACTGGCATTGGAATAAACTGGGGAGGAAAAAACACTCAAACAGTTACCTGTGGAATCAACATGGCATGACATAGCAGTCCATACTAGTGAAAGACAGACTAAGCTATTTTTTTACTTTTATATTTTACTGAATTGAAATGTATAAACGTTGAGGCTCTTATTCATACAGAAAATATATGCATCACTGAGTAGCAAAAAAAATCTAGACCTAACAAGGCTATCACCAGGATTAAAAACAATAGTTCAGTCTTGACTGCCCATTCATTCAATTTTCTCAGTTGTAACCAAGACTTCTATTAAAGCTAAGTATGCTGCTTTTATGTGGCTCTCTGATAGGGACTGTATTGAGACTATCAACTCCATGAAACTGCCATATGAAGTTTTACTTTTGACCACTAATCTTGCATTTCTGGAGCAAATACATTTCCTGAGCTATGAAAATTTGATAATTATTCAGGGCTAAATTTTGCTCTAATATGATGATCAATTTAAAGCTTAGTGAAGCTTTCTTTGCTCCTGAATTCATGAAGCTTCTAAGTAAAGGACAGTCAAGGTACAATTCAAAGTCTTAATAAAAACTGCTGGTATCAAGCCTGAACAAAAGCCTTTACTGAAATTTAAATAGTGTGGAAGCCTTAGAGATTCCTTACTGCACTTGTGCATGTGTGCATGTATAAAAGCTAGTGGTTTCACTGTAAGCTCGAGAATTTGACATCTTAATACTTCATTTATGTTAACTTCTACTGCATTAAATCAGTATAAATCCATACATGGAACAAAACCACAGTAACCTAAAGATGCAAGGCTCTGTTCCCTTTCCTTCTTTTGAACAGTAACGACCATTCACATTGAAAAAGAAAAGCATCTCATAAAGAGCAAACAGCAGTAATTTTATTCCTATGATCCTTGCTTCCATAAAAAATAGAAATATTAATTTCTAAGAATCAGCTGTTAAACCATGGGGTAAACATCTAACTTCAGCAATCAGCACTTTCATCTTTTGCTTTAGAGCAAAAATAAATTTATTTCAATACTTTTGCTTCTAATTCTGATCATTTGCATTATACAGCTGAGAGCTTCGTAGCTTTTCGACCAGAGCTTCTCAAATCTGAATACTCATTTTTAATAACTGCTACTGCCCTACTGGTTTCAGACATTCTCTAACACATACAAATGGTCAACTATTAAGAATTTATAATATGTAGCTCTAATTACTGAACTATAACTGTGTGTTCATAGGTTTATTTATTCCCATTATCTAAACTTAAACAGCCATTAGAAGCTACCTTTTTGTGAAATGACTTACAATTTGTCTTCAAATAGAATTTTATTAAGTTCTTTAAAGATATTAGCAATTAAGCAATTTATGCCATATCTGCTGTTTTGGCAAGAAAAAGACTGTTTTCCCACTTCTCCCTTTAACTACTAGATTTGAAACAACAAAGCAGAAGCTGAAAGGATTTTACTCTAATCTGAGCAAAAAACCAACTGAACTGACAGGTTTTCTTCCAATAAAGTCTTCAGAAGGGCACTATAGATATAAATTAAGAGACAGAGTGTAAACTGAGGCCACAATATGACCTGCAAAATACCTATTACACTGTGATGATGCATAAAATCATCTTGACACTTTAAACATCGAAGGAAATTTAATAAGGTGAAGAATGAGAAGTGCACAACGTCACTTCTGATGATCATTTTTCAAACCATACATTTCAGTTTCTTCTGCTATGTTACTTCAGCTCAAGTAACTTTATATCTTTACCACAGTCCTTTCTCTCTCCGTTTATGCACTCACATAAAAACTACAGAAGAACTACTTTAGTTAACATAGACTCAAGAAACTAAAAAATAGTTGGCAAGAATATCAGGTAACATGGACACAGGTTGCTTTCTTCAAGACTCACTACATTTCTAGCTTGCTCAGATTTTATTTGCTTAACATTTCCTCCTATCATTTCTATTCAACTAACACCTATTGTTAAAAAGGCAGTTTGAAAATGAGTCCAGGCATATTTTACTTAACATAATAAAACTTCGTAACATTATTAAATGCTAAATCACAGGATCAAAATCAAATGGACAAATGTTTTGGAAAACCTGTCTTTTACCTTTAACACAGAGGTCATGAACACTGACAGCCCCATCAGGACAAAAATCATCAATCCTGTCACTCGCTGCTCCCGGATTCCCAAAAACTTTGGTTGCTCCCCTGGTGCTGAGCATTCAGATTCAACTTTCAGGCTATTAACATGACTTATAGACAGGACAGTTGCAGCAACAAACCATGGTAAGCCCATGATAGAACATATCCCCAACATAACACCAACCATGAGCAGGTCAAGATGATAACCACAGCCTTTCTGTAAAAGTAAGCAAACAAATAATTTGATAAACTTTCTATTTATATGATACCATATCTATAACAGCTGATAACTACAGAAGACAGATACTTTGAGAGTGTCCATAAAATTATATTTGTTCTTTATTAGTCAATACATACATTTATTTAGTAGCTGTTGGTAACGTTTCTCAGACTTGCAGAATGAATCCGATTTAAAATAAACTTAACTTACACAACATTGAGAGTTTTGTGAAAATGACTTTTACCTTCAGCTTATGCTCTTTCCTGTTTATAATAACAGCTGTTATTTGTTGATCCATGAAAATGAGAATGGTACAGAGTAAAGCAGGAACAGCTGCTATCAAGAGTGTCCACCAAGGATTGCTTCCAAGAGGATCTATGAACCACCCTCGGTCTTTTCGCGTGGGCTGAAAAAACAAACATTGACAATAAGAATTAAATGACTAAGACAAAATGTAGATTTTATTGCTGCAAACAGCTGCAATTAATATATCAACAGTCTTTTAAATATGTGTTTGGTTTTTTTTTCCTAATGGCTTTGAGCAAAAGATTGATTTAGCTGTTACATGTGAATGTGACATTTATATGGAAAAAATTAAAACAAATCTATTCCTTCATTTCTGCTCATCAGCATAAAAAGAATGTTTCCTTTTCAGTGATATTGTAATATAAAGCATAGTCTCTTCTGTCAGAGGAGACATACGTCCAAAACAGAAGAGGGAAATTACTTCATCAACTACACTGTAAGTAAAAAAGACAAATTTCTGGTTTTATACAATTCCATTGTTCTACTGTCTATGAAACTGCAAGCATTTAAAAAGTTAGTTTTTTAAAAGGTTTTATTTCTTACTTCAAATTTCTCTGGAACATGAAGCTTAGGAGAAGGTACTCCTACAAGATAATCGATCAGAACCATGATTACTATGGTCAGAAATACTGCAAAGTCACTGATGGTAGAACGCACCTATAAAGACAAGACTTGTGTTAACTCTTCTTTTTCATCATTACAATCTGCACGTATAGAAAGACAATTTTCTCCCCTATGAATACTGAAGTCTATTTTTATCATGCCACTGAATATTACATATATTTTCTCTTTTTATTCTAAAATTTAAGCCGCCTGCCAGCATAGCATGAAGTTGCAGAAGGTAAGTGTTCTGTACAACTGTATGTCCAATTATTGCATTTAAAATGATCCACTGCAAGAAGCAAATTACTTAAAATAACTCCTTCCTCATCTTCCTGTCCTCTCAACCCTGCTGGGAGGCTGGGCCATCACAGCTATTCTCTTCCAGCTTAATTCAGTAACATCACTGAATTGTTCTGAAATCAATATTGATACATTTGATGTTTTAGTAGATAGGAGGGGGATAATTTGCAACAGATCCAGGTTATCAAAGGTGACTTTAAAAAACATTAGGAAGACATTGTAGGGATGAAGTTTAGAGAAGATCTAATCACTTTATTTTGGCTAGCAGAAGTAAGTTATGTAAATCAGTCCAAGGATAATCATTATATTAGCCTCTATTAGAAACAGTAATCCCTTGAGGAACCACTCAGAACCCTTCACACATCAGCAGTTTGGGGAAAGCAATCAGTTGTTCTGTACAACTAGATGTGGAAATCAGCAGCAATAGCATCTCTCCAAATGATACCTGGCAATACCCATTAGCATGGGGAGACTGCTGCTTAGCTCTTCTAATGTTTAGAACATCTTGTAACTATAGGGAAGCAAAGTAAGCACTGAATTTTCAGCAGCTGATTTATTTACTCTAATGTCTTAATTTTCATAATTATTAGCTAATTTTCTGGTTTTAATTTATTTTTCTGTCTTAAAAGAAATCTCTCAATAAAAACTTCTGAAGTAAAATTAAAAAAAAAAAAATCAGCTCTGTTAAGTTGCACTATGTATTTACCACAAGATAACAATAGTCTCCAATGAGAATTACCTTAGTTGGGAAATAGCGTTTGGTCTTGAATTGCTTAAGGAAAGAGGAGAGGAAAAATGTTGTAAAGAATAATATGACAGACCAGAAGAAAACATCTGGAATATATGGTCCATGACGGCTACAAGCTGATCCACGAAACACACCATGGAATTCTAAACATTCCTGCAAAGAGAAAAACTCCTTAAATTTTTGTTTTATTTATTTAGTACATTCAACCTAACTTGTAGCCTTTCAATTTAAAACACACCTCAGAACTTTCACAAGCCTAAAAAGGAGGTTTTCCTTCATCACTACCTGACCCTGAAATGCTAAAAATGTGTGCTGTCTGAAAAGCCACAGTATCCATCACTGATTATTTCAGCATGCCAAAATGCTGGGAGGTGCCCAAGAAGAAACAAGAAACAACTTTATGTTCACCTCATTTCCATTCTATTTCTCAAAGCATCACAAACTTGAATGCATAAATAAAGACTGAGGACTAAGTCCAGAAAAGCAGATTATCCGACATCAACTTTCAAGCTGACAAACAACTAAAAAAAAACCCATACCCCTCCTCAGTTTCTCCCACCTCTTTATTCTTGGCTTTGTTTTGTCCTGATACAATGAAGGAAAAACATTCTTATAAAATAAGATTAACCCAACTGTAAGAAAAAAAAATCCTAGTAGTAAAGTAGAAAAGCATCATAAATAATGAATTTGAATAAAAAGGCGCAAACTCAAGATGATCCCTATCCCAAAGGCTCACTGAAATGAAATCAAAGAATTAGACACATAGATTACAAGGAAACAACAAGCCAATAAATCAAATAGTTGAAAGCAGCTCTGCCACAATCTAGTCCTCAAACAGGTTAATTTATTGAAAATTTAACTTATGATAAAAATTCTCCCAGTTAACAATCTGTTTTGATTATAAGCACCACAAAATTCTGGATCAGTTCTGTCTCTCTGGGAAGACTGAAGATGTTTAAGAGAATGAAGTATATAAAATAAATACTAAATATAAAAACTAAGTTCAAGAGAAACTGCCATCCTAGGTGATTATGGTAGACTAGGAGCGATTGGTGGTACCTAGAAAAAAAAAACCAACACTACAGCTTAAAGTCGACTAAAGCACTGAGGTTTTTCATAGTGTTTTTGCTGTGCAAAACACCTTCTAGTTTCAGTGTGAAAGTTTAGGCTCACACACAAGGAGAGCCTATATACAGATATCTACTACCATTTTAGATGGCCTAAGATGGCCAAGCAGCTAGCAAATGCAACATAAGATCTACAGCAGATTTAAGTCATTAAAGGCGGAGGTGGAAACCAGATGCCAGGATGCAAAGCGGCTGTAGACAGCTGCATTTAGGCAACTGAATCCCACCCAAGTAGCTACTAATCAGCAAAAATGTTTCTTCCTAAAAAGGCTCCAGTATCACTTCCCCATGATAACTTTCCTCCTCTTCATCTACCCACAAAATCAGACATTGTTGTGAAATACCCAGTTCAGAAGGTAATGCTTTCAAGTCTATTCCTTTAAATAGCTCTTCTCCTTTTCTTTTAACCTTCAATTTTCCAAATAATTATTTTCTTACAAACAATATTTAGGTAGTTTCTTTGATTCTGTTGTGGTTTTACACCAATGTCTAACAAGCTGATGATTGTTTGCTACCACATTTTAACTGCAGATTCCATCTTCACACTTTCTTAGAAATATTTGTTCATCCCTTCCAGGAAACTGAAGGAAGCAATCTCCTGTTTAAACACCTCATCGTAGTCATCTGCACTTCAGAAAGAAGACTGTTCTGCCTACCAGGATTAAAGTGGCTACCTCAAGTAGACATTTATGAGATTAGCATTTACTGCCATTGATTTGCTCAGCCAAACCAGGACTGTTTAAAGCATTATGGGAAGAATAAGAGAGTTCAAAAATGGGATTTTAAAGAAAACAGTCCAGGTTCAAATCAAGAAAGAAGCCAGATGAAAAAATTTAACCAAGACTAGTACTGCATGGGTATTTATTTTTTTATAGACACATATATACACACACATAGCTTTCAGATACTCACAGAAACTGTAAGGTTACTCCATGCTATATTTTCCACAGATTTATTCATTGTCCTCCACACCTGCAAAGTTTCATTGCTAGGTTTCTCGGGCTCAGAACACACACATCTGAAGGGAAGAAAAAATAATTTACACGCTTTTAAGCTGTATGTGCCACAATGCCATGATTTGAAATAATTTCAAAAATGCTGAAGAGTTTAAAGCAGAGTTTAGCCCAACCTTCTATGAAAGCAGCATAGTACAAGATGACTCCTTGCATGACATGAACTAAGATTACTGGAGGGGTAGGGGAAATGAAACAAAGAAGCAACTGCTTACAGACTATGTATTTTTAGGAATTACAAGCTGGCAAGATGTTACCTATATGATTGATCTGACATATTTTTAAATAGAATGACACCTGAAAAATACAATTAAATAGATAATATATGCAGGCTTCTACATGTTGTGAATAAAAAGATTAAGATAAAAATCCAAATGACACCCCTGCTAAGAACCTTAGAAATAACACAGTATGTGTTAGCATAAAGATTTCTACATAAATGGACTAATTTGGCACAAATAGTTTTCTGTGTCTGTGTACTAATTAAGGTTTTTAGACTGGTGTAGAGCATAACATCCCACAATGATTGAAACTTTGAATTAGTACTATACATCAATATAAATTCAAGTGGGACAGGGATCTTCTGGAGAGAGTCCAGCGGAGGGCCACAAAGATGATTAGGGGCCTGGAGCATCTCCCGTATGAGGAAAGACTGAGAGCTGGGACTCTTCAGCTTGGAGGAGAGAAGATTGAGGGCATCTTATCAATAAATACTTGAAGTGCAGGGGCGAAATGGATGGGGCTGAGACCTTTTTGGTGGTGCCTAGTGACAGGACAAGGAGCAATAGGCTCGTTTCAGTAGAGCCCAGTGATAGGACAAGGGGCAATGGACAAAAACTGGAACACTGAAAGTTCCACACAAACTTAAGGAAACACTTCTTTACTGTGAGGGTGACAGAGCACTGGGACAGGCTGCCCAGAGAGGCTGTGGAGTCTCCATCTCTGGAGATGTTCAAACCCACCTGAACGCTTTCCTGTGTAACCTGTTGTAGGGAACCTGCTTTGGCAGGGGGGTTGGACTAGATGATCTCCTGAGGTCCCTTCCAACCCCTATGATTCTGTGATTTAAAAACTGGTGTAGAAGACAATTTCAGCAATTTCTTTTCAAACCAGATATGCCATTAGCCTCTAGTCATTTCCAAACCTTTTCTAAAACTTGAGTAGAGTTAGCCGTTCATCTTGCATTTGCCAAAACTGGTTACACTGAATTAAGACACCATTTTTGAGTATGTAGTGGGCTAACTGAAGATATAAACACGTAAATTGCTCAGGTTTAAGGCAACTGCATACATATGTTTTTAAAAACATTTGAACAAGTAAAAGTGTCCCCCTCTACTGCAGTGGTTTGCAAACTTGGAATGCAGAATCCTTTGTGTTTGTGGTGGGTTGACCTTGGCTTACATGAGTAAGCACGCCAAAGGAAGACTGACAAATTTCTTAACAAATGCAATGAAAATAAAAAGGTGCCACCAAGTAGGTAAGTGGAAATTCAGGAAGAGAAATTAAAAATAGAAAATGTGAGAGTATTTGAGACTGTCTTCTGGTTCACTTAGCTGAAGATGCTTGTTCCACACCCTGTTCCCCACTGGGGCAATGGAGGTAAAAAGAAAGGGGGGAGAAGAGGAAGGCAATTGTAAAAGGCCAGATCTCTTACAGCTTTGTTATGGAAAAACATACAGGACAAACCAAATCTGAAGTCTGTGCCACGTTCTGAAAGACACATGTGACACCCTGCAGAGCTAAACCAAGGAAATGTCACACCTTCCTCTTTCCACTCTCATGGCCTGCCCATCCTAGTGTAGCAAAACACAATCAGGTGGCAAAGGTCACAAGACCTACAGACCTACACTACAGTTTCATCCAGATTAGTGAATTTAACATGCTCACAAAGAAGTCCAGTGAGGTCCCAGAGGCAACAGAAGGATGGGCAGCCAGGAGAAAGGGGGAAATCAGGAAGTGAGCATGCTCCTGTGGCCCAGTCCTGGCAACATGTCCTGGTCTTTACAGCTGTCAAGACAGGGGACTGGGTGTAAATGCCACGTGAATGGAACACGTGGGAGAAACAGTGTGAGAGGGTGTTTGCCCAAAACGGATTTGTTGAAGAGGAAGATGATGAACATCATCTGGAACATCACCTGGATTAAATAGTAACAAAGGAACTACAAAAAGACTTGGGTGGGGGACGCACACAGACACAGAATCATCCTGAAAGGAAGTACTTAAGAAACATGAATGTAAAAGTGAGGAGAAATCTTGGAGTAGAAACACAATAGTCAAAACCTGGTTTGACACTGCCAGAAGTCCCCTGCATGTATCATGATCTTTGCCAGGCAGAGCAGTGGCCCAGGGGGATGGTAAGCAGTCTGCCTCAGGTTTGCTGGCAGGACTTGTGACCCCGTGGGGGACCCACGCTGGAGCAGTCCCTTCCTGAAGGGCTGCACACCATGGAAAGGACCCAGGCTGGAGCAGTTAATGAAGAACTGCAGCCCGTGAGAAGGACTCACGTTGGAGAAGTTCACAGAGGACTGTCTCCCATGCGAGGGACCCCACACTGGAGAAGGGGAGGAGTGAGGAGGAAGAGCGTGAGGAGTCATCCCCCTGAGCAGGAAGGGGCAGCAGAAACAATGTGTGATGAACTGACTATAATCCCCGTTCCCAGTCCCCCTGTGCCACTGGGGGAGATGAGGTAGAGAAATCAGGAGTGAAGTTGAGCCCAGGAATAAGGGAGGGATGGGGGAAGGTGTTTTAAGATTTGGGTTTTATTCTCTCATTAACCTACTCTGATTTGATTGGCAATGAATTAATTTCCGCAAGTCGAGTCTGTTTTGCCCATGACAGTAATTGCTGAGCAATCTCCCTGTCCTTATCTCAACCCACAAGCCTTTCATCGTATTTTTCCCCCCTGTCCAGCTGAGGAGGGAGAGTGATAGAGCAGCTTTGGTGGGCACCTGGTGTCCAGCCAGGGTCAACCCATCACAGATACAAAATATACAACTGCCACAGAAATAAATCAAATATAAAAGAGATACACCTAAATAGCTTGCTTATCGCATTCCTTAAATGAAATAAAGTTATTTTTGTACTAATGGTTTTACTGCTAGTTACTGTGATGAATGGAATAATAATTCTACATAGTCAAGAAAGAAAAAAATATGTCTGTACTGTATTTTCTATTATTCTCTTCTTTCAAAAAAATATATTTTTTTAAAAGTCAAGTACTCACCATGATTACAGTAGAAAGCAACACTGTTTAAAGATATTAACTCCCTATTCATAGCACGTGAAAGTTGCAGAAGCTCTCCATGCCTTAGCTACCTGGAAATAATCCTCACCTAGTTGGGGTAAGCTATCATGATTTCTAGAAGCACAGAATTGCCTAGATTGGAAAAGACCTTTAAGATCATCAAGTCCAACCATTAACCTCACACTGACAAGTCCACCTCTAAACCATGTCCCTAAGCACTATGTCTACATGACTCTTAAATCCCTCCAGGGATGGGGACTCCACCACTGCCCTGGGCAACCCTTTCCGATGCCTGAGAAGTAGCAAGGCAGTACTCCTGTTCTGACCTTTAATCTCCAAGCTGACCTTTAAAAAAGCTGTAATAAAAGCAGGCATTGTCATAGCCCCTCATCCTTTTGAGCCACCCATAGTTAACACAGAAAATTCAATACCACAGCATCCTGAATAGAATTTTTCTGAGGTTTCTCATGCCTGTACCACCCCCAGCATTCCTCCTACCCTTCCACCGAGAGGCACACATTACATATTACACACGTTGTAAATGGTTATGTCTCTATAAACATTTTCCTTATGTGTTTTACTAACAGATAGAAACTTGATACTTACGAATATAACGTCAGTTTATCCAAATCATTGTGCATATTGAAGGCATACACTTCTCCCAAGTGAAAAAGCTTTTCCAGTGCCTCATAAATAAATATGATGCATATAAGCGCTGCAAAAGCTTCCTCAGTAAATCGAGTGATGTAACACACAAGGCTGCTGGCATCTGTGGCTACAAGCACTATGCATAAAAATGCAGTCCACAGACCAATGCTCGTTCGCAGGGAGAGGTAGGAAAGCCCATAGTCCCTGTGTGAAGAAACAAACAAAGGCATTAACTGAGCCAAAAGTCACTTATACTATATTCTAGTTGAAAACAGATACTCAGGCCAGGCTCTGTAGGTATTTACCACTTTTATCATCCTTGATGTTAGTTATGAAGGAAGCAGAAATGCTTCTGTCTCACCTTCCACCAAAGCAAAGCAACACTGCTGGGTGTTTCCAGGATAGGAGGGTGCAACTACCTAGCCTGGGAAGCATCATGGGGATGATGTTTCCAGAACTACCTAGATGCTTTCTCCTAAGAAGTCAGATCAATCCCTGTTTATCCCTGCAGAATCAAAGCCAACATGGCCACACAGTCAGAACATAAAACTTCTACCTAAGGCCTAGCCACTTCTTATCACTGATTTCCTCATTAAGGCTCATCAGTGCCTCATAGCTTTGCCCAACCACAGGCATCTCAGTCTCTTGCTGCTGCATTTCCATCTTCCTGGACATCCACTTTGAACACACATCTGCTTTCACTTACAGGTATTCTAAGAGACTAGAAAGTTAGAAAGTGCATTATGCCAATACAAACATCACTTACCTGCAAAATTTAAATAATATTTTTTCAAATACTAGAACTGGTCCGGTGCTCCCCAAAATAGTAAGAGGTTGCCCAGCAAAGAGGGAATAGGCAATCCCAGTTAATGAGGCTCCAAAGAGAGACTCTATTGCACTCTGTTTGGGGAAAAAGAAACTGCTATAATATGTGTCTTTCAGGTTAGCATTTAGCTTCACATCTGCATAAATACAGTTTTAAGATGCATTAACTTAGAAACAAGACAAGATGTAAAAAGCACTGCAATTAACATCGATGTTTGAGAAAAAAGTTAACACAGTTTTGTAGTAACAATATAATGGACAAAAAAATCTTGAAAAATTCACTCCTGAGAAACATAAAGCCATCCAAAACCATGAGAACAAGCTACTAGTCCTGCTAGCTATGAAGGAAAAACATAACAAAAATTACTACAATTTTTTTTAAAAAAAGTTACACAACATGTAGTTTACAGAAATAATTATCTGTCTCTGTAAAGAAAAAAAAAAATATATATATATATATATTGCAACATACCTGTACCAAAACATGATATGGTGCATCAAACCTGCATCAGTCAACCAAGCATTACAAAAGAAAAAGCTGACAGGTGGAGGTGACGGGGAAACTACTGAACAATATTGGTTTATGTATACATGACACCAAAAATAAATGAGCAGTAAACCAATGTCCCACTTGGTAATGCATTCCTTTTAATTGAAGATATCTACTTCAATTCTTGAATTAAATGTTTTACTACAACATTTTCTGCTAAACAAAAGTTAAAGTGCACCTCAAAAGAGAGGGGTTGGAGTTTTTAGATTCTAAAATGTTATTAAAGTTATTTGAAAATAGTTAACTACACCATTTACAACTATAAAAAGTAATGGATTACAGATTAAAGGGTTTGTGGTACAATATTCAAGTGTTTGCTATTTTGCAATTATGCAAGCCTAAGAAAACAGTATTTATGCAAACTTAAGCTCCAATTCAGTAAAGCATCTAAAATTGGGCAAAACTGTTTACTGAACTGGAGCTATTAAAAAGAAAACCTGAGGCATTTCTTCATTATAGTGGGGAAAAATATATAATCTCAGTCTCTTGTTCTATTACCTCTGAATTAGCACTTTTGGTTAGTCAATGCATTAACCTTGGGGCTCTCAATCAGGGTGGCAGGGACAGGAGTACTGTGGAGGTGATGACCTCTGGGAATGTGAGGGAAGGTTTCAAACACAAACTGTGTACCTTACAATGTCAGTTACTGTGCTTGAACATGTGTGTGCAGTAACTAAATTTTATATTCAATGATGCACACCAAGTATCTGAAGGCAGGAACAAACCTGCAAACAATTCCAGATAGCTAAAAGAAAGAAGGTATTTAAGAATCAAGCTTTAAAAGGAGTGTATTTTCATAATCATACATGATGTACATTCAAAAATTACATTGACATTTTGATAATCATTCCTATATTTAGAGCGGCAAAAACAATGCAAAGAAAAGATATAATTCAGTATTTGCTATCAGCTTGAAGTGCTACATCAACAAACAAAAATCTGAGTCAACAGCATTACTTGAAAGAGACAAAATAGTTAACTGCATTTGAATACACCACAAGTTTAAAAACTTGATCTAAGTATCAAGAAGAATTTTATAGAGTCACAAGTGTTACTAGAATCTTAAAATTTGTAAAGGACGTGTCTGAATACACCCTTCCCTCCCACAAAAGGACAGAGCCTTGTTTCTTCATGATAGATTTAAAAACAGAAAATACACTTCAAACTAGTTTACTCAGAAGTCAATTGACACAAACACAAAGTTATTAACATTGCTGATGTTAAGTATTCTTTCCCTGCTCCAAAAACCCAAGTGCAACGATATTTTGGTTAAAAGGATGCTGGGGTTATCTACTGCCCAATATCACACTACCAAAATTTTGCACATGTATGGTTTACATTCAAGTTGTTTACTATGAAGAGTATTTTCTGCTCATAAACCTTAGCCACTTTCTTCTATTGTTAACAACATACCAACAGTGAAAGCATACACATATCCTGTCCATTATTTACATGTACAATTGACTGCTACCCATACACTGCAGGCATTATCATCCTCGTAGGCCTACTACTCAAGGCCAGTACATGTTCTTGGCTGTTCACCTTGAGCCTCTGACTTTGCCTACAGTAGGCCTAGTGGGATGGTGTATCTTCACTGCTATTCATTATTTTTAAGTAGCCGAAAAGAAGGCAATGCAAGCCCTTTCTCAATTCATGAAGCCATTCATCCAACAAGGCAGGATAAACATTTTTTACCTCCACTGTGCATCTTCTCCTGTTCACAGGGGTTCCCCACATTTTCCACAGCAATTACCTTTTGGGGAAGATCTGCTCTGGGGCAGGCTAATCAAGTGCTGTGGGTAAATTCTTCAAATACAAGTATAAATAAGTGAGACAAATGCACACAGTGACTTGCCTCTGAAGGTCTAAAAGCCTGGCCGCTACCATTCTTTGTACTCACTATTCTGCCTTGTGTAGCTTCTCCCAGGAGCCCTCCAAAAGTGATTACAGGAGACATACAGGCACAGTATAGGAAAAGAATCGAGGCCAGGCACTGCAGGCTTAATGCATCCTTGAAGTCACTCAAGAAAAAAGGTGCTTTCCTTTGGATGTCAAGTATCAAACCACCAAAAAGCCTAAATAGGTGAGATGAAACTCATCAAACTGTACACTAAAGGATTCTAGCTAGTTCAAAACTATGGGCTACACATGACTGCCAGTGCCTATTACCAGCACAAATTAGCTATTTCATAATCCAGATTAAAGCATAACAGTTTTAAATGTAAATGAGAATCTTATCTACTCCAATTCATCAGTATTCAAAATATAATCAAGCAGGCTATCCACATTTTTAAAAGCTGGCTAGTTATTTTTGTATATGGGCTAGATACTGAAAAAGTATCTTTGCAAATTATTTTACCTAAATGATGTTTTAAGTCAAATCTGTCTTATGATATTCAAAACAAGGAACAGCAGAAATATGCTAAACCTCAACCAAGACCACTGCATTGATACGTTTCAATATTATTACTCCAATAAGTAGTTGTAGCTTTTTGATTCAAATTTTCTCAATATATATGGTCAGGTCCATAAATAAATTTAGGTCTATCATTTATAACATCGCTTTCATCTGGAGTGTATAGATATTCTACAAATGGAAATATAAAACTAAAAATATAAAGTTATTAGTAAGAAATTAAAAAGCTTCTGGCAGTTTCCAAAAAACTTTCAAGACTCCAAAACACTAGGTATAATTTGCACCTACAAAATATTGATTTTAATTTGAATTATAAAAAAAAAAAAAAAAAAATCGCATTCCTAAGAAAAACAATAGGCTCATCTAGAAATGATCCTGTGGGCAGAAATGAACTTCTCGCTTCACATACTGTCTGCAAAAAGGCAAAAAAGTAAATGTAACAAAGCCAAAATGGCAAAAATCAACACAAGTGGTGTAAAGTCCTTCTTGCAAAGGTATGAGAAAGATGCATTTGGAAGTTTATCATTTTGAGGATAACAACATTGTACATCTTTTCCAGAATTTCTCAGTTGATTTAATCTCTACTCTTTCATATGAGACATTAATGATAATCTTAACCAGATATTTCCAATGTTGGGGACTTTTTTTGGCAAGTATTTCAGAATTGACAGAGAACAACAATGCAACTCTACTGAAAGTAATTCCTTCAATTTTCTTTTAGTTCTAAAAGAAACCTAAGCAAAACCTAACTAGTACCGAAGTATATTCTGATACTTTGTATTCCTTGTTGTTCCATTTTATACCTTTAATAAAACAGATTTGCATTAACGGAAATTTTTAGTACCTAGCCCAATACTGAAAATTGTATATTCCTGCTATAATTATGATAATTGCACGCTCTTGACAATTAAAAATTAAAACCCAACTCTTAAAAATCAGTTAAATTAGGCAGCGTCTTATATGAAATCCTTCACAAATGTGTTGAGAAACATTGCCACAGGCTTGAAAATGCTTTAAGCAGATTGGCATTTACAGGCAAGAATCCAACACTTGAAAAGGAAAAAGGATGTGCTCTGACACTTATACCATCATTTTGTATGTTCAAATGTAATCATTAAAAACTGTGCAGATTTATCACTTATTTCTTTATGGTAGCTAGTATTTAGGGAAGTGAACACACCTTCCAGTTCTCTCAAGTTCAGGTCCAGCATGATGGCCTTCTTCTTTGAGAGTCTCTCCTGTTGGAGTAGATCCATTTGGAAATTTAGGTACCTTCCTTTTCTCCTACAGGAAACAAACAAATAAAAACAAGAACAAAAAAAAAAAACAAAAAAAAAAAAAAAAAAAAAAAAAAAAAAAAAAAAAAAACCAAAAAACTTTAGAAGGGCCAAAGACACCGTGCAGAGACTCTGTCTTCCAAACCTTTTTCATATTCCCATCTTATCAGCAGTCCTCCATTTGCCAAGTTCATCTTTTGTTGAGTACAGATAACTAGAACTGCACAACAACCCCAAAAAGATCTTTTTAGTACCTTGCACAACAGTATTAATCTTCCCTCTTTATATAAGAAATATGTCCCTGAGATACATTTTGAAGACAAAGCAGAGACTCAACCATGTGGCCTGAGCCTGTATTTTGAAGACAGAGACTCAACCATGTGGCCTAGAAACCTTTGTATTTTTTTTCCTCAGTCATTTCCCAAGCAGAAGCCTCTAGCTTACAACAGAAACTGTCCTCACTTTATGACACAGTACTTAGTTGAATTATGAATGAGAAGTCATTCCAGTATAAATGAGAAGTCCTTCTCCTGCTGAGCAAGCTGCTCATCAGCTGCTCATAAATTTCTCTGGAAACAGTGGTAGCCTCAGGCTATTCATGAATAAACTGCACTGCTGCCACCCTTTCTGTTCTACTCACTCCCCCAAAGCACCACTGGGTTAGACACCAACATCAGGCTGTCCTCCCACCTTTCATCCTGGTGGCAGGAATTCCCCTCAGTTACAAAGAGGGAAGAAAGAGACCCTCTAAGGTCCAGCTCTCATTCTAAGCTTGTATCACAACTGAGAAATACAATCCATTTTTATCTACTTCATAAACATTCTGTGAACATTACAGGCTCACCAACATCCATTTAAACATTTCAATCAACGCCGTGTGCAAATAACATTTTTTATAAGAACTACAATATTCTTGCTGATCATTGATAGCTTAATAATAAATTTATAATATGAACACAGGTACAATTTTGGACCAGTTCTCCTAGATCTGACATGAACTCATTTCCACTATCACTAGAGGAAATACAGTACATACAGATTCAACACTTTTTTTTTTTTTTTTTTAAACTTAAATGCCCAATCCACCACTTCTTCCAAATGGGTGTGGGGGCTTTCCTGATGCTTTACTACAGTTTACACTCAGTACACAGTTTACTTGCATTGGGAAATGGCATTTTCAAAGCAAAAATCATGGGAGCTCTCTACTGGACTTTTTTTGTTTTTTGCTTTTACCTGGGAAGGAACACTTTTTGGTGGCTCAATTCGTATAGATGGATCCCATTCTCCTGGAGGCAGGACTGTCACTTGGTCTAAAAATTCATCAATTCCTGACAACAAATCATTTCGGTCTTTTGCTTTATAGGCAACATCATGGAAAACCTACAAGAAGAAAGTACCCAACATTGTTTTGGTTTTGGTTCTGTTTGGGTTTTTCTTTTTTGTTTTGTGTTGTTTTTGTTCGTTTGGCTTGGATTTTTTTTTTTTTTTGTTTGGCTTCGGTTTGTTTTTTGGTTGGTTGTTTTTTTTTTTTAAGGTAACTGATTACAAGGAACACTTTATTATTTTTAAAAAGGCACTGGAAATTTTTTTAAAGGTCCTCAAAATTTAGGCTTTTACTTTACCTGGATACTTTCACATTAAGAACTACCTTTACGCACAGCCCTATGGAACATAAGGAAGTTATATCTTCAAACTCAAAGGGAATATTGAGTTCATTTCTAAAATTAATTTAAAAGTTACCTTCAGTATTCAATAAATAAAGTTCATGTACCATTGCCTGAATGATTCTGCCCTACAGTCACTGTGCCACTATGCTGTGATATATCAGGACAAAAATACTTTAAGTAACCTTCAAACAAAAACACCATTTTTTACTAAGAAATTCATTTGTATACTTTAGCTTAATTAATTTTAAAAGACCTCTTAAAAAGCACATAAAAGCAATCTTCCTACTACTTAAAAAAACCAAAACAAAACACCCACCAAAACCAAAACAAACAACTTCAACAACACTGTTTTACAGACTTCTACAATACAAACTCTGAACTGACAGATGGGTAGTATTTAAACAAAACAATCCCTGAATCTCATGATGTATTTTACACAGAGAGAAAAAAATGCTAGTTCTGCTATAAAAAACCTGTTCACTGAAGATGATCCTAAATTGCTTCTGTACTTTTGAAACCTGAACTGTGTTTCCCAAGATCAATCATTAAGTCTTCTAATTGTAAATTAGACCTTTTAAGCCTGTTTAGGTCTTTTTAGACCACTGAATAATTTGAATATTTCTAGTTCAATGATTTATAGTATTCCTAAAAATCAGCCTACGTAAAAAATTGGAAGCTATTTTTAATATTCGCTTTTCACACTGAACAATATTGTATTCACAGACCAGCTGCCCAGTTGTAAAATGACCAATTTCTGGTTTACATTTCCAAATTTTAAGTTGCTCTAGAGTAAAGAAACATTAGAATATCTGCTAGATAACCATAATAATTACAAGCAATTCAGCAGGTGGTGCTGAATGTAAAGTCAGAATTAAAACATCCTGATTTTGCTCAGGGAGATAACGATAGTTTTAAAAAGTCCAGATTTCCCTGTGCTCTCCAAAACCATCCAACAGGACTCTAGGTATATGACTTCAAAAGTTTACAGTTCTTCATTTAACCAGTTTGTTGGGGTTTTTTTCCCTTTAACCTGTCACTAGAATATATTTACTGAAAACAGTCAGTAAATACATTATTCTAGACTACTTTAACTAAAAGTGTTTAAAATACATCACTCACATCATCTGTCATAAGTGTTGCTATTGATCTTCCAATTTCATGGTACTGTGGAGCTTTTCCTGCTGGTCCCAGCAACAAGAACAAAAACCTGTGGAGATACAAATCAAGATAAATACACCTGACTCATCTGAATATTCTTAGAGGGTTCTTTCACACTAATGTTTAAAGAAAATTTAGTGGTATAGTAAAAATATGTTCTTCATAATTTCAGATCTTAAACAATGCTGCAAGACTAAGAAGAGACTTGCCTCAAACTCATTACTGAAAGGAACTTGAACCCAAACCAAAATTACTCTGAAATCTTCTTAATTAATCCTAATTTTTCAACTTCTCATAATGCAATAAACGTAATAGAAATCCACAGGCTAGAGCTCAATGAATATCTCCTCTGGATTATAAAAACTTTCTGACAAAGACCCCCTCACTGAGAGCTTAGGAGCTTCATGACCTATTCTAGCCTCCCTGATGATCACCTCTTCACAGGAGTTAAATCCCTCTCACTTGCAGTTACTGGGTACATCACATGATAAATGCACAGCACTAGTAACCTAATAAATTCAAAAGCATACAAACCAAAGAGTGATCCTCAGTAATTCTTTTCACAATCTTCTTTCTATACTCCATTAAGTGCTTAAGTACAACATGTTTAAAAAAAACAGTGCCTTCTTTCACCTTACAGTACAAAAATCTCTTATTTTTCCCTTGCAAGTTGACTACCCTAACCAAAACTGAGATTGCATCTTCAGAATCAAGTAGGCTATTCCAAATCTGCAAGTCTACACCATTCTGAAATATTCAGCTACATTAATACAATAATCTTTATGCAAAAAATTTTGGATTTTCCTAGAAACATTACAAGCACTAACATCAACTATCCTCTGAAAATTCTCAGATCTATCTATAAGAATGTTGCCAAGAATATTTTTGCCTTTCATTAGAGTACATAAGATGAAAAATACAAAGATAAACATGCACTTTGATCATTTTAAAACAAAAAAAACCACCCACCAAAAGACATAAACACTCAAATTTATTCCAAACACCACATATCAGCCCAGTACATCAATGTGCACAGAAAAGGAAGTGTCCTCCATGATGACTGATGAAATGACCTGCTATCTGCCTCATGGGACCTGTACTTTGACATTTTGACCATCTGTGGTAAATAAACCCACAGGATACCAGTAAGACCAATGACTTTGGGGGAGTGGGGGTAGGCCCACCAGGCTGGATGGCATGTAGCAGACTGAAAACTGATCCAATGTATTAACTGCAGATTGGTTACCCCAGTGTCAATCACGTAGATCTGGGCACATAATTAAAAAGTTAAGTTTTTCTACCACTAGGTTATTCATATACAGCATATTTGTATGCAAAAAGCAGAGCTTCAGATTAAACAGACTTTCAGACTTAGTGAACTCTTCCCCGCTGTCACATTGTGTCGCACTGAAGGGAACTATAACAATCTTCATGTCCATCTCTATAATAACAACACAGGCTTGGAAGACTCACTGCTTTTACTCCAGGTCAGTTATCAGTTTCAACTTCTGTACTTGCTTAAAGCAGCATCATATATATTTAAAGCATTCTGATAATTTTCTGGTGGGTCTCATTCCTTCAAATTTTGCAGCGAATGACTAGCATCATGCTAAACAAAAGTCTACATTTCTCGAGCTTAACAGAACATGTTATAAAAATCTACAAGTATTTGAGATCTTAAATATCACTATTTTATTGTATAAGTAAAGCTAGACTTTCCACACATTTATTTACCGTGTAGGAACCGGAACCTCTGTGAGACCTGAGAGAAGCACAGCAGGGGAGAGCCTCACAAAAGCAATAATAGGTCTTTCTAAAAAATCTACTTCTCCCACTAGCACATTTGATGCTTCTGCTCCTGAAGGAATTTTCCTCATGAAGTTCATATCAACCTATTCATACAAAGATGAAACAAGTGTTTATTCCCTTACATTTGTTAGGAGAAATTATGTAAGTTTATCAGCGTTTACTAGACATTTATGCTACACAGAAAAATTAAAAAGCAAATTAAATATCCCACAGTACAGAGAAGACAAACAAATGTAGAAAATGCCAGCCAGCCAACTAAAAATAAACTAATTTTCTAAAAGTTAGAATTACTACCACTTACTATATTTTAGAACACTCCAAACTGCATAACCACCTTTCTAATATTACTTATCATGACAAACATTCTATGATGGACATAACTTTAAAAAAGTCTATGCACAATTAGCTAAGGAGAGTTCATGTAGTTACACATCATTTCCAGAATGCGATTAGTTATTTCACAGCTGCATATTTCAAATTATTAATAATTTTGAAACATAATTTGTACATTTATGTTTTCATCCATAAAGAACATGATGGCTGAAAAAATCTTAACTTTCATTTCTGTACATAACTACAGAAGAGTATTAGAAAGTGGTAGAGCACATGAACTCGGTGTTCACATACAAACACGCACACACACACACACACACAAGCACTATTTACATTGCTATCTGGAGAACTTACAGATGGCCTCTTGAGTCCCACACCAAGTGTGCCACAACTACAGTGCCAGGAGGCTGACTCCTGCCCAACAGGAGACAAGGCAGGTGTACAGAAGGACAGGCCAAGCAAAAACATAAAAACTGTGACAGAGGAGCAGGAATAAATGGCACCTGCCATGATGAGATGAGAACTACAGTGCAAGTTAGTTTTCCTTAAACATAATAATTTAACTTGGCAAATCAATTTTCTTAGTGTTTCACAGTTCAAATGACAGTACAGACTGAGTTTTATAGCAAAAGCCATAATGGAACTTGCCCAGCAAATTTACATGCAAGGGTTTTATAGAATTACACAAGATTTTCTTCAGAAAGTGATATTGTACGTTCCTAATGATTAAGATGTATAATACACTTCAGTATAGAAAACAAAATGTATAAAGCAAATCCCCCTTAAAAGTCCTCTTGGGGAGGGGGATGGGGGTCAGTCCTAGAAAACAGTGTTACAACACCATGTACAAAATTGTTTTCATAGAAGATCTGAAAATATCTCCCCCTGTACACGGAAGTACAGTGTCTGTTACCAAAATACTGAAAAGATCAAACAAAACAAAGTTCAGTCCCACAGGGAAGTGTTTCAAATAGTTGACACATTTATCTTATGCCATATTCTGACACTCGTACATAAAGGTCATGTCTTAGTATGTATGTCTTGTGTACACTCATACATATGCGTATATATATATATATATATATGTCTTAGTTGTGGTGGTTGTTAACTGCCCTCTTGGTTACATTTTTTGTTACACAGTAATTCTGCGTTAAACATTAATGTATTAAAATTTATTTACCTTACTAAAATCAACTGTGCTGTTTTCTCTGCTTCCGCCTGTCCCAGTACCTTTAATGTCTCCACTTTTCCCAGTGTCTAAATTTCCAGGTGCTGACTGTGGAGATGCTAATAGCCCTAAATTAAAACAAAGGAGATAAGTTCAAAGTGGTGTATGAAGTGAACTGAGTATGTGACACTACCAACACTCAATGTGGCAGCTTGCTCAAAGCAAATGTGCAAGTTATTCAGTGAGAGTGCCCTACATTAGTATCATAAAATGCAACATTAACAAGTCACTGTGAGGTCAAAATGACATAATTAGAAAAAAAAAAAAAAATATTGCCCAAATGATGGCCATTTGCAGAACAGTCACCAGGAAAGAAAACAAGAGCTACGTTAGTTACAGAAAATATAACAAGTGTTGACCTTTTAATCACCAAAAGCAAACACCTCTGCTATCTAGTCTGTTGCGTAGCAATTATTTCAATTGTAAAATGCCCAGCAATCCTCTGGCTGTAACTACAAGGAATGATACCCTGGTAGTTAACTAAACCTGTACAAGCAAATATTGTCCTTACTACATGAAGGACACAGCTTGCAAGCTATGATTTCAATCAACCGACCAAAGGTACAGCTATTGATCTGACCAGGTGTTACTATATGAAATAGTCTCTCTGACATGCTAGCTAAAGAGGCATATACAATAAAGATAAATTCAAGTTAAATATACAGTTTCCCTCTAACATCTACAGTAGGAATGGTTTTATGTAGCTTGCTACACTACCAGTAACACTGAATTGAAGGTTCAGTGAAGGGTGCAAAGTCAAGTAATCCAGGTCTTAAGGCACACTGAATTCCATGCTGCACCCTGGTTATCTCTACCCACCTATCATTTAAAAGCCGGTCTAGGTATGCATAGCCAAGACCAAATCCCATCTTTTGAATTATAGAGCTTTTAGTTGTTCAGTTTAACATGCACTAAAGTGCATTTGGCCTTATTTGTCTACACTAGACCTTTCAGATGTGGTGATAAAGACGCTTTAAGACAAAGACTGAAGTCTAAACATTGTATTAGATGCAGAAAGTTTGTATTTAGTTCAAGCATCACTCTAGTTAAGATAAAACTTAAGTCCTCACTGGCTACCTTTTGGCTATTGTTCTACCACAACTACTGTACATAACTACTTGCATCCCTCCATGTTTGTAATTTATCAATTTTACTTTTCTTAGTATTTCAAATGACAACTGAATTTGCTTTATTTGATCCCCAAATTTATTTCCAAAAAACTCTTTCAAAGAACCATCATATCAATGGAAAACATGTAGGTCCAAGCCTTTACCATTATTTTTCTTTCTTAATTTTTTCATAGTGATAAACGGTGTGGGCAATTTTTCCTGAAGCAAAAACGTAATTAAGTTAATAACCTGCAATTTCCTTTGTGAATCCTAACGGATTAGCTAACACTATAAACATTATCATTCAGTTAGCTAGGGGAAAAAAAAAATATCATATTCTACCCTTCTACTCAAAGATGTATGCATTATTCACAAGAATAACTAACAGCAATCAACCACCTGTGAAATCAGCTATTCAAAGTATTTAACTGCATAACAGTTGATGTTAAGATGTGTTTGCAGGACTAGAAACAGAACAGAAACATTACAGAGTTGTTGTAAAAGAAGACCACAATACAAATGTTTATAAACTTTTTCACTTTTCCCCCCACTACATAACAATAAAGGTAACTGAAGATGTGTGTGACTGATGAAAGATGAGCAATAATGCATCATTTTGCACTTTTCACTGTGTGAGCAAGAGCAAGCAGAGACTAGAACAAAAAGTAGAGAGACAGCCAAGGAGGAGGATGGAGAATAATGTTTCCATGTATTAGCATAAGTTAATGTATTATTTCAGTACTGAGCAATACTGATCCTTCTAAAAGATTTGCCTTCAAAATTTCGCCAGACAAGCACAGTTAAGATCCACAAGTTTTGGCACTGATACAGGAACATTTGTCTGATCCTAACCCATGGGTAAATATTTTTCCTTTCTGTTGGTCTTGCAGCTGGACAGACTGCTGTGCTCCCATGAGAATACTGCTTACAGGTTTTCAGACCTGAGCAAGCATTTCCATATGCTACTGCATTTCATTATGCATATCAGTCAATCTGATAATTGCAGAGAAACTCAGAATAAAAAAAAAAATTACAATTTCTAACAGTGGAACACTTTTACTCAAATCTCACACTAATAAAAGTACTTATTTCCTTCTCTTCTCCAGTTCAGTGGGTACACTACTGCTAAAAGGAGGACTACCTAGTTTTTCCAGACTGTGAGACAGAAATTCATCTAGTCTTACCAAAGTATTGAGGGAATCATTAAAAATATACAGCACTCTTCTTGACATTCTTATGCAGATATACCACCTGTCTCCTTCAAAAAACAACAGCAGATTGAGATTTGAGTAAGTCTAGATTAAAACCATGTAAGATCACTCAAGTTCAAGTACTTAGAGCTACACCTTCACTAATGATCATGTGCATTTTCTAGCCAGCTACACTTAGTTTAATACTGTGATCACAAAAATCTAATAGACATTATCTACTGGAAAAAAGAAAGTAAGAAGAACACAGATATTTGCCTCGTATCTCCACTTCAGTTAAAAAAAAAAAGAGTTGGAGGAAGTAAGACAAGTTCATCACCTAAGCATGACTGTTGCAATATGATTATGTTTATACAGGTAAAATTTATGAAATACAAAACTTTTAAATACAAAGTTACACCATATTTGTGTTTGAGAAAATAAAAATAAAATTTTAAATATAAATTCCAATGTAGCCCTAATGTGAAAAAAAAAATTAGAAGGTAAATATGTAAACCTTTCTAAATTATTATTTTCAGTAAGTAATTACTGTAAAAGCAAAGCTGTTCTAATTATTATTTTACTCAGTTTTAAAGTACATTCATCAGTGAACTAAAAGACCCCTTCAAACAGGCTGCTTTGCTGTTGTTCACAGACATTATTAACAAAGCTTAATGATGCTGGCAAACTAACGTTTCATCTTTAGCTGTGAAACAGCTCTCTTGCTAGCTCTACATATGGAATTCATTATTCAACAGTTTCAAAGATGGGAAAACAAAAGCTGTTCTTGAACCGATGACAAAAGAAAAAAAATGTTAAAGAGAACCCTTTGCCTGGTTGACTTACGCTGAATTGACTGGCTGACAAAAATCAAGTGGTAGACTGAAAGTGTGTTGCACTTCCTTCTTTTTACAGTAATTCACATTAAGTTCAGTAACCTTCCCAGCTATTTATAAGGACTAAAAAATAAGAAAACCAGAGAGATGAATGCTAAACAGAAGAAAGCCATCTATTAGAAAATTAACACACTTCCTAATTCTCATAGGAGGCAAACCCAACTCAATCATACAGATGAGGAAAAAGTATGTGGCTGCAATATTCTGAAGTACTAGAGAGGTAATACAGATCATAATCTACAGTGGAATGGACCAAGAAGATTTGTTTGTTTGTTTGTTTGGGTTTTTTTAAATACAAGAAGATTACTCCCTCTTTAGGGTTCCCTTCTGAATTTGTCTCCTAAAAGAGCGATTAGTCCAGTTGCAGCCCTGAAGTCATAGTTTGAGAATGTCTTCAAAGGCACCTCTAAGGAAAATGTGTCTTTCTGTGGTCAGATGATTCCTAAATTTAAAAAGGGGGAAAACCTCAGAAAACAAAAATGTCTTCCATCATTACTGGTGTTCATCTTTCTCTGGAAAAATTTCTATTTATGGACTAACTAGGAAATTATGAGAAACATCCCCTTGAGGCAGAAAAGCAATATGAACATGACTTGGGAGAGTCTGGTAGAAAGTGTTATTAGTGATTAATAATAGCATCAGGTACTTGATCTTCATTTGTTTACCTTCTCTTGGGTTCTAAAGATCTTGGGTCTGGGCATGCTGTCATTCCTGTCAGATGAGCAGAAAAATGAAAACTGGAAAACCAATTACAGCTGTTGTTCTACTTCTGGTTTTTAATTACCTTTGAAAGATAACCCATGAGAGATAAAGATCTTCACATGAATTCACTTGATTTCCCATAAGGAAGTTAGAGAAACTTTTTTCATTTGCTTTTCTGAATTTAAGTAAGGATGGGGCCACTACTCCAACTCAAGATGATAGCTGACAGCACAGTTTGCTCTTTCCTTTTCAGTGACTTGGCTGCCCATGTGGAAAGGCAGATAACCACAGCCTTTCCTCTGTCAGCATATTTTCACTGCTACATGTAACAGTGTGCTCTTACATATAAAACAAGCAAGAAAGGAAACCAAGAAAAGTGTCACTGATGAAAGGACTGAGATAAATCAGTTTCCCCCACCCCTCCAATACACGTAGGCATAAAGCAGACAAACCTACAAGGCAGATTTTGGCAAAATAAATTTCTAGGGGGCAGGGAGACAGGAAGCAGAAGGAGCCTGAAGGCTAAAAAGAAAGATAATCACCTTAAAAACATGATCTGTCTAGAAGAATCCTAAAGTCTCTAAATAGGTGGTAATTTTGCAAAAGTAAAGCAACTATAAAAGTATGTATGCAGAACACGAGTTATGAAATATTTACTAAAAATTATTATATTTAAAAAAATTTACATTATAAAAATTATAAACTCTTAACTACTTTATTCTATTTTGCATATCAAACACAGCAAAAAAGTGATCCAGTGTCTGATGCTGAAGCAGTGCACTAACAGACAGCTGTCTGGATTGTAGGTGAAATGAACCCGCCAGTTTCATAGCCAACTACTACTGTTTTAAATAGCCTTGCTTTCTCAAAGCACTGAAGCAAAAATAAAACTGGTTAAAGACTTCACGATACAACCAAACTATAAACACCACTGATGAGGCATCCTAATTTTTTTCACACTTATCTCTAATACTCCACTACATCTTCAGCTGTAGCTGTGTCAGGATATCAAACACTGGTTTAAAATATTATTTCAACCACTGATAAAAACAACAATGCAAAACCTGACATAGACTGTAGGTGAGTGAAAGGAAAAGGCCACCATTTTTGACATTTTGCTTATATATTTTGAAACCGCATTCCTTTTTAATTATACCAATTAATGTTAATTAAAATTATTTTTGCTGGCTTTAGTTAAAAGCTAAAAAGTTAAAAATGCCAAACAAGGAAACAGTCACAACTGAGAAGAAACAAAACATGCAGGCAGAGGTAACAGTTATCATATTCCTTTGTGCCCAAGTTACGTGCCAAAAACATTGCAATGCAAGTGATCCAGATGCAGAGAGCATCACACATGGACAGCTTAAATTTCAATAGTTGCCTGGTGTTTTGTCAATATTTTCCTCTGTCTTCTTTTCCTGGCTTTCCTGCACTTCTAAGTCCTCCTCAGGTGGGTGGATTATTACTGAAGGAATATCATCACTGGCAGGTAACACCAGCAATTCTTTGCCCTGAAGTGGACTTGGCTGGGCACTTGTGGTTGGCGGGCGGCTGCAGGTAGGACTGGACGGTGGTGTGTTTTGAGGGGTAGTTACAGGGGTTGTACACCTTGAGGTTGCCGGTGTTCCAGCTCTTGAAGAAGGAAGAAGGTAATTGAGAAGAACTGACAAACGGTTTTCTCCTCTCAGGGAAATATTTGAGGCAGAGAGACCTGTTCGTAAAGAGTGGCGGGAGGCTGAAAGGCCTTCCCCTGAGATAAAACAAATGAAACACCATGAGGCTTACAACAGGGATATACTTAAAAAAAAAAAAAAAAACAAAAACAAAAAACCCACCACAGACACGAATATGCATTAACAGTTTACATAGTAAATTGCAAGCTTTATGGGGCAAAAGTGTCATACTCATGCAAGTAAGACAAGAGATAAGAGCAAATCTGATTTCAGACATTAGAAGTCAGAAATTAGTGATGAGTACTAATTAGAACGCCAAAGATATGTCAGAAAAAATAGTAAGTCAGTAAGATTTGTTAATATAACAAAAAAAAAAAATCTCTTGAAACTGATCTTAAATTTTCCTAGAATTTCTTATTCCAAACTGCACAGAAGCTACCTTTAACATCATCCAAAAAATACATTAAAAATCATTAGCAGCCAAAATGTTACAAGACTTCAGTTAACTGCATCCATTATATACAAAGAATTGTTAATTTTTTAAATTTAAGTATTTTCAAAATGAACATGATGAAACATATCTAATCGTGTTAAATGCAAATGTCTTCCAATAAAAGTCATATTTTTAACAAGAAGTTTCCTAGCCAGCTCTAGTCTCAATATATAGTTTTGAAGAAGGCACAAGGATAAGATACATAGTCCCTTCTCCATTTCTTCTTGCTGTGACTCACCAAATATCCCCATTTGTCTAAAAACAAACACATTTCTCCAAAATCCATTGTTACTTTTCTTGCCCTATGCAGTCTCAATGTCCCACTATTTTCACAGAAAGAGAACACAGTCCTGTCATGGTTTCCTCAGATTTAAGTTTGTAACGGATTTCAGTTCCTCCTTAAAACAGGAGGAGAGCCTGTCTATCCTCACATCAGCACTTCCATTAGAAGGTTTAGTGATACCATTCCTCCCATTTACCACATTTTTCCTGGGATGGCAGTTTCCTTAAGAAGAGTACCGATTACTTCTCCTATAATCCCTGAAATCAAAAACATGCCGTTTTCACGTACCATACCATCAAGCAAGAAAATAGCAAACTAGAAATATTTATTCTCACATTTATACTAGGTACTACCACGACCAATACCTTGAACAACCCTAAAATAATTTACAAGACAGAGGCGTAGAAAGTATGCCTAGGTAAAGGTCACATCTATTTTTTTTTTGCCCCTCTAACAATGGAAGGGTGGATCCTACAGATACAAACTTGATTTAAATTAAGAATGAAAGCCTCAAAGATCAACTATTAAAACTGCAGTGCAGTAAAGACAAGAGGACCAATAAAGCAAACTGGATTATTTTAATCACTATAGCTATAAATAGACTTCTGTCAGGATAGTGATGAATAATGAATAGGAGATGTCCCAACACACACAGGTGTAAAAAGGAGCCTAGAAAGTAGTATGTACATATGCATGTTTGCTTTACTGGTTTATTAGAGGGTAACTATAGGATTATAAAGAAAAACTAAATCAGTATATGCTGGCAAAGAGTTTATCATGTTATTCTGGTTTCTTATTTCAACATAAATCCCATATTCTGTTGTAGGAATAGTATTAAGAACAAAATGCACTGGAAAGAGGAAATGATACATGACAAGTAACTAACAAGCAAGAGACCTTGAATACAAAATTCTCAGAACTACAACTGTGGATACAGGCATTAAAGGATAGGTAAAACTAAGTTTATATGTGAAATTTTCGCATTTGCTAAACAAAACAGGAAAGCCAGAAGTTAGAGAAGAAATTATACTCTTACATAAATTAGTTGTATTTTCATTCTGGAAAAAATAATTTTGAAACTACCAGGGCAATATTTAAGCATGCATCACAGAGTCACTAGCTAACAAAAAGTATCAGCAAGCTTGGACACTTGCTGGAGTACACTCCAAGCATGTATTGAACCGAGAGCTCCCAACAAGCACCTAACTAATTGGAACACGTTCTAAGCAATGAGGCATCTTCCAAGACAGGAAAGGAACTTCACTTCAAGGACTCATTCATGAAATCAGTACTAGGTTTTCACTTGACTAAAAAATCTCAGTTTAAATTACACATCTTAGTTAATGCAAGGCAAAAGAAAACAAAAACCTGAAAGAAATAGAGGCTATAAGAAATACAAAAATAAAAGTATGCTGCTCTGCAGTATATATTGCTATCTGGACTTTGGAACTGGATGTCTAGAGTAAATGTATTGATATTCCAGAATATTTCCAAGATCTGGAACAGCCTATAAAGACATTGCAAACACCATTCTTGACTTTGGGGTCCCCCCCCATCAGATCCTTCTATACAAAACAAGGTAAAATAAACAGTGTCCTAGCTAGAAGTAATTTCTTCACCATTAGCATAGTGAACTTTTGCTAGTGATATTAAACATAACAACACTGGATTAAAACATAGTAATTGTCAGCATCACTGAACTCATGACATGATCACAAAGTAAATCTCTAGTATAAAGACTGAATAAGCAAGTAGGATTCATCTGACCAACATATAAAGCTGTGCTACGATGCTGAAATTCCTCAAACATTACACGTTTTATTCAAGCATATCCAAAAAACATTAGGACCAACATAGGTCTATTTCTATACCCCAAAACAATAATGCATGCTACATTTACAGGCCAGAGTAGAATGTTTGAGTAAATTAAAAAATATACAGAAACGTCATCCACAGCTACACATAGCACACACTGTTATCATTAGTTCTTGGCTTATCGAGAAGGAAACACTTATCTGCTATTATCAGCTGAATTTTCCTTCATCTCCCAGTGAGAACATTATTTAACAGGTTAGAACAAACTGGATGCTACAACTTATCTCACCATTTCGTTCAAGCAAGTGAGGGTCAGAATGTTTCTTGCCTATATCTGCAAAAGACCGAACCAAGGGAATCCGGTTGCTGAATTTTTTCTCATTCTGATGATGGTGCCTTTTTAGAAGAGCCTCTCTCACATTCTCTCTTATGGATTCATCCAGCTGGCCAGAGGCAATCATGTTGTCCAAAACCATATCTACATAATAACAACAAAAAAAAAGAACATTAAGTATTTTTTTTTATATAGCTCTCAAATCTCTCCTTTACCACACTCAAACAATGTAGTTGCATCACATGATAATAAAAAATGTTAAATGTGTTTTAAAAAAAAGTCTTTTCTTCAAAAATCCACTGAAAATTTTCAAAGATGTCACTAAACTAGCAAATGTGAGAATAAAACCACAAGATGCAGATCCAAAAGACAGTAGCATAATTTAAAAAAATAATAATAATAATTAATATTTTATAATTAATTAACATTTACTTCAACTTTCAAAAAGAAAAAAAAAGCATCGATGTATTCAACAACCCTCCACTAGAAGTGAACACACAAAGACAGAAACACAATGGAGAACAGGTTTCTTCAGACAGCTTTAACATGGTGTTCCCTATTTTGGAAGTACACAACCATACAAAAGCGAAAGTTACCGTAGAGATTAATTCTCTAAATGCTCTGACACCTCCAGATTGCCTAAGTTCCTTAGGCTCTCTACTATTCAAGCGATTCACATGCTTTAGAAGTATAAAACAAATGTTAATTACATCATCTAAAACTATCTAGTCAACTGTCAAACAACAGCTTTTGAAAGGGCATGTCATTAGTATGCTCATACCAGGAAAGAAAGCCTGTACATCTCAGAAAATATTTGCTGTGATTACTCAGGGTTTCTTGTTTGTTTGTTTTTAAATTAAATTATTTTTTTTTAAATAATTAAATTAATTAAAAAAAAAAAAAAACCAAACAAACCTATAGGACAACTTTAAAAATACATTTTGCCAGTCTTAACTGATATATCAAGAACCTAACTGTATTGGTAAACTGCAATTACATAGATTTTTCACAACGCAGCAGAGTCTTTGTCAGTACAGTGCAGCTTCCTTCTGGGATTACTGGCAACACACAGTCTTTTGTTACAGCTTCTCAAAAGGAAACCTGCCACTCTCCCTCCTGTTTTGAGTGAGAACCAAGAATATCTACTAGGTATTCCTGGCTCACAGAAAACAAGACAATACATTTGTATGCAAAGGATTGATATCATACATGCTTCAAAACGGCACTTAAATTAACTTCAAACAAATTAATGCAAACTCCTAGTTCCAACTAAAATACCTGCTATTAAAAGAGTGTTGTTTACACAGAATTAAGCAATAACTGTTTTTCTTACGTACTAAGATTATTGCTAAATTAAATTATTAAAAGTAAATTAAAAACCAAAGCATTACCTTTACAAACCATGTATTTAACACTCTTGCTCAGTAAGTGAGGAAAATAGGAAGGGAATATCAAATTCCTGAGTGAATTTCAAAGATTTCAAAACAAAACAAGAAAATGCTTCAAGTACTGGCAAAGTTTTTAATGTCCTTCACATAATGTTGGTCAGCCTTAAGCCTAGCATAATTCCTGAGAAGGCATTCCAATGTGTGGTCTCTTTAGCAAGAGATACCAGGAAAAACTAGTTCAAAGGCATTCAGGCTAAGCAGGTAGATATGTATGTATGTGTATATGTATGTGTACGTTTATGTATGCATATATATTTATATTTTTATATATATATGAAAAAGTCTTCCAAGTTGATTTTATAGTATCCAAAATGACCATGTGATTAGTGAGGACACTCAACATAGTAGGTCAAACAACATGTACAAAATTTATTTGTGCTCACCTCTTATAAAGGTGAAAAAAATACCAGATGTGCAACAATCAACTGCACTAATGGCATCAAGTTAACATCAGCCAAGTTATCATTAATAATTATGGTACTAAAGTGCACAAATAAGTGCTAAAATGTTCTGGTAGATATTTACATTTCATCTGTAGAAACAAAGACAAAGAACACATACAGGGATTAGAACATAAAGGCAAATTCTGGGCCTCCTCCTAAAATAAGTAATAAGGAGGTTCTGCTCATCCAGTGTAGCTCCTTTTAATTGAAGCTTGTAGGATCAGCTCTTTACAACCAGACGAAGAAAACTGCAGTAAGCATGCACATACCTATGTCTTCAATACAGTATTTTCAAGAACATAAAAAGACACCAAAAAGTCTCAAGTCATAGATTAATATTTAGGAATAAAATATTTTTTTTAAAAAAGTTTTGCTGTAACCTGCTATTTCATCTAGTGTGTTTGCTCTCATGTCCAACATGACCGTCCCATTAAGAATACAGCTTCGCAGTTCAAAGAGACTGTGCAGAGACAGGGTTGCTACATAAGGCTTGCTCCATCTATCACCACCATCTTCAACATCCTCTTCAAATTTTAGCCACCTGAAACACATACAAATACACATATTTATATTTCTCCTGGAAAATGGACAATTTGGCAAGCAATCACATTCTTCCCTGTGGTTTCTGTATGACATGGAACAGGAAATCCCATCAACTCATATCAGCTTTCATTTTATCAGAAAACTCAACTGACTGACAGTCAACATTTTTATCAGGCCTTTTAACCACACTCAACTGTTTTAGTTTTTGCTCATTTTGTTTTTTTTTATTTTAACAATACCTGTCTATTCACAAGTTCCTGTGAACAGTGTGGGATTGTGCCTTGTTACTTCATTTGCATATCTCGGTTTCATGGGTATTTTAGGATTAGAAAGCTGTCTGAAACACACCATATACCATGTTCAAGTCTCCCAGGGTGCTAAGTCAGACATTTAAGAGCTAGGTCATACTAATAAGTGTAACTATAAATTGATCTTAATTCTGACTCACAGGCATTATGTAAATTGAACTTCTGCAAAAGCTAGCATACAATATGGTAATTAGAAGTACCGAATGCAAAAAACTTTATTACAATGCATAAGTAGAAGGAAGCAACTTAACCAATATGGGCTGAAAATAATTGTGGCATCCTGTAATGTTCATGCATGCAATTTGCAAAAAATTAATCAAATACCACTTCAGAAGAACATATGTAAATATGCAATTTTCTTTCTGAGTGAGGGAAAAAAAAAAAAAAGACACTACTATAACAGCCATAATAAAGCAAAGAGATTTCTGATACTGTATATACCATGCTCCATGGCTGAACACCTGTATTTGTAAGTAAAAACAGCTGTACCTTTCCCAATGCTTGGCATGATCAATTTTAGGAAAGTCAATGCAGCACCATTAAGACTGAGGGTCTCTTGGGAAACCACATTTATTCTTCCAGATTTGGACAAAAGTTTTTATATGCTGAGCACGAATTGAGTGAACAACTCCTATAGTTCATGAAAATTCTAACCTAGACCTAGTTTGCAGTTCTTTGAAATAAAATCACTAGAAGATATACCCTGGAACAAGCTACTCTTGGCATACCTAGCTGTTTCTTTCCATTCATATTCTTCTCCATCCCTGAAGCAAAGCTCATCCATTTCAGTGAAGAGATCATGGGGAATGTGTTCATCATCATCTTCAGTACCCAAGATAAACTGCACTCGTTGGGATGGTGTGTCTTGAAGAAAAGGAGAAACTGAATAATTAAAAGAATTCATACTTCTATCGTGCAACAATCACCACACGACAGTTAAAAACATAGAAACATATGCTCAGTTGGAAACATACAGCACAATATCCTCTTCAAGAGGGACAAGGAACAAATGAAACAGACATTTCTTTAAAAGGAGGCCTTTCTAGAGTTTTTCATTGTTTCAGAAAACAAAACATCTGGAAATTTATGTTTACGTAACACAATTGAGTATTTTTAGCTCTTCTATAAATTAACAACATCAACATAAACAACAAAAATTATTAAGAAAGTAAAAATTAATACACCAAAGGGCTAGAAACCTTGTTTTAGGAATAGTTCAAGATGCTAAATAGCTGCCTGCCTTTTTTTTTTTTTTATTCCCCTCTACATGGTGGGTACCCAGGCACTTGTATTGTTAGAGCAGCTGATTTTTCAACTGCCCGTTGCTACTTAACGTAGGATGGAAAAAATTACTTTCTTATTGCATGGTTGGAGCACTGTACATAAACTAGCATAGGAAAGCAGAAACTACACAGCTAAAATGTTGAGGAAATATCTTAACTTCTCATAGTATAATGCCCAGTGAAACAAGCTTAGTAATAACTCATAACAAAACTTAACTATCTTTCTTGATCTAATGTAAGCAGTGAACTTCACTGCTATGAGCAAAACTTAAAAAACAACCCCAAAACAAACCAACAAAATAACCCAAACAACAAACCAACAATAAAAGCACAAGTTTAGTGATATTTTTAACAACTATACACAGCTCTTGTTCCAACTCAAAGGAGAGCTTTCAAATTACAAGGGTTCAGTAATGTAGTAATCGCAATGTTATCTCAAGGAAGGTCAGAGACAGAAAAGCCAGGTAAGTATCAATTTTAAAAGTTTTACTTTGTTCACTGAAACGTCATTCTCACAGCTGCTAGATGTGAACGTAGAACTGAAAGCTTCTACTGCAGAAAGAAGACCATCTTTTAGTTTTAGACATAAGATCTGAATTGCTAATAAGCTTCATTCAGAATTGAATTTTGCCTTTTCATTGTTGTTCAGGCACACATTATCATCCAGTAACATAATTCCAAAATGAGCTCTTGAATACAAACATCAGGATCAATGAAGACCTACAGCAGATTGTTTCTGTCCCAGAACCAACACATCCCAAGAATCCTGCCATATCCTGTGTATCCAGGACAGAAAAATGACCAGAAGAGAGAATTGAATTTGTATGTATTTAATATTACTTGCTATTTCAGAACCTGTACAGCGAGACTCTACAAACCTAAGATCAAATTATAGTCATTCGTATTTCAGATGGGAAGTTTTGAAGATGGATGAAACCCAAAACTGTAGGAGAATGGTAAAAGGAGACTTGTCAAAACATCTCCATTTGAAAACTCCTTTGTTTCAGGGAACTGGCTCCAAGCAGAACATGGTTCTAATCATAGAAAGGTGATAGTGAACAGTGTGGTGTCCAATGGTTCTAGTCATAAAAAGGTGATAGTGAACAATGTGGTGTCCTTGCTTGAAGTGAAACATTACAGTATAATTTTCCCATTCACTACAGTCTATGAATGAAAGTGGATTTGAGGTCTTCAAAAAAACTGCTAAGAGTACTGCCACATAATTTCATTTCAGAGAATGATATGTCAAAATCACATCTTGAGGATAAGAGGCAGGCCATGGGGACAGGGTCTGGCCCAAAACCAAAACTTAAGAGGCAGTACAATTCCTTCACTATTACCAACAGACAGCAAGAAGGCTGAAGTAAATATGTTAATAGATCATTGATCAGATTGCCACAGGAAATGCTGCTTCACAGCTATATTTATAGTTTTAAAAATCTTGAGTGATAGAGGAAGAGTAATACAAGATTACACAATCTAAAAAAAAGGTGTCTAATTCAAAGAACAGATTTTTATATTACAGGCAAGTACTATGAAGCTCTAATCTATTCAGTGCAGGCTGCTGAACATTAATGCAGACACCTGGATGAAGTCCAACAGCTTATGATGTAGATAAAACAATACCACAAAATCCTTGCTTGACTGTACATAGAAAGACACAATTACAGTGAGAACGAAAGAAACAGCACAATCAACATTTAAGCATGCAGAAACTACTACAAAGTTTATTTTCAAGAGACAGAGAACTCGCACAACAGATTTCTTACCATATGATGGAGATTCTCGGCCATCCTCTCTGTCAGTTTCTTTTTCTTTTTTTCTTCTGTGATGTCTGTGCCCACGGTGTCTATGCCGCCGACGGCCCTGCTTTCCAAATGGGACATGAACTCCAATATACACAGCTCTGTGACCTTTTCAAGAAAGTTTAAAAGGAAACAATTAAACAAAACCTGGCCTCCTGTCCAAATTTAGTGTCTCAGTAAAAAAGACGAGGACTTTTACAAAAAGAAACCCAAAAGCACTTGGCAAAACTACCTTTAGTGAACTAATATTGCCATTTATTTCCTTTCTTTCCTTCCTTGGTGTCAAGGAACTAGTGCTATATTCATTTCCCGGATAAATCGAGTAAGAATATGGCCCAATTTAAGACCTCAGTTGTGAAACAAGCCATACAGAAACACAGGTTTGAGCTGTAACACTGAAAGAACCTACCTGATAAACACTAGGGCAAGGCAGAGAATGTATGTGTACTCCTGTTGTTTACAGGGATACGTATTAGGATAAATCATTACAGTGGCAAGAAGTAATCTCCTAGTTCAGTTTATGAACTTCAATAAGAAATCACCCATCATTTAGACTTGCCAAGGATTTTCCCCTGCTTGAATGAACTGCCAGTTATTTCTTCAAGCAGCATGTGATGCATCTAGGTGAACCTCATGTTCAACTATACCATTAATTTAGTATCAATCTAGGAGCATAAAAGGAACTTACATTTGGAAATATATGCCAAAACATCAAATAACTTACAGAGAAGGTTTGGGTTTTCTATTCCAGAATTAAAAAAAAATAATAAATTAGGTAACACATCCTCAAATTAATATAGACTGTTCTTTAAAACATACACTTTCAACACCTTGTTTTTCCTCTGACCTTTCATCACATTAAGGCAATACTAGCATCAAGAGCTTGGCAAAAGAAATCAATCAGATTGTTATGAACATATTACTACCATGTCTCCTGTACTGGACTTAGCATATACAATAACTTTTTAAATTCCTTTTTAAACAAATAATCTCAGGAAGAAACACATTAGCTATAAGCCTGGAGGTTAAAACAGAAAACTTTGTTTTATACTGTAAAACAGTTATTACAGAAGACTGACATTAACAAAAGGAAAAATAAGTGATTTTCCAGCTGTTAGAGAGATGCAAATTCAGTAAATTTGTAGAAGATAAGCAAGCCCTAGGAGTTGTGACTGTACACAGATGCACGTGTATATGTGTGCATAGCACACACACATTAGATTTAGGATAATGAAAAATTCTGTTATTTACAGAGCTCTAAAAGAATAAAAAGTGGTGGTATGTCAAACTTGTTTTCCAAGAAAAGTAACTCTAAGCTCAAAAAGACACACGACATTTTATAAAGCAGTATTTTTACAGTCCTACATGAGTAAAAAGACTGAGCTAAAGTCAGTAATTAAGTTCAGTGTTCAATTAATTTGGTCAAGACTCCTTTCCAAATTACAAGGCCTGATTCTTGACAGACTTCCAAGAGCAGTTTTAATTAGAGTCAACTGATTGGCACTAGGACCAAAACTGAAATTAAGCATATTAAAAGCAGAAAACAGATTAATTTGTTGAAGCATTCATCAGTTCTACATAGAAAGAGACTTTTCTTTTGTGAGCTTTTTCCAACAAGAACATTCAGCTCCTGCCAGGCAGCCTGACCTCCATCCTCCACGACTACTGTGCCCAACGCAATTCCCAGAGAAGTTAATGCAAATGTGACACCTACACATAAATCAATGCACTTGATATAGAATATGACGAGGTGGCACCATTAACAAAGGTCACGTATATATTTTTAGTATAAATAAATATATATTTATTTATTTATAAATAATCTCATGTATAGGGAAAGCAAAAATTACTAGGCTCAAAAATAGCTGCATTACTCACCACACCCCACTCAAAGCTGCCTGGTGCAACCAAGTGACCCACCACTCACTGCAAATGCTTGTTAGGATTTTTATTTTATATATTCAAATAGCATGTATTAAACTATAGTTATACATATAGTTAAACACTTATTTGTCATCAAAGCATTTGATTTTTCACAGGAACTATTTTTTCCTAAGAAAAACTCAAACATATTTCTAGTAATAGACCATTTTATATTATCAGTTCGTTTTAATATTCTTAATAAGACTCTTTTAAGCACGAGTTTTGATCATTGCACAAAAAAGACTTGCCAGTGATTACTTTCTAGAAAATTTCAGGAATCTGAAACTGTTCAAGATTTTACTTCCTGAAAAATTAGGACTTCCACATTTTGGTCCCTTGCTGTTCCCATAAATTAAGACATAAAAATCCCAGACTGCCCTCTGTACCAAAGAACAAACAAAGATCCCATACAATTTTTCAAGAGCTTCCATCTTAAACAATTCACCTTGCTATTGCAAAAATTAGCATCTGTAATAGTGTGATCATTTCCATAGTCAAAGACCCTGCTGCTGCATGGAGAAGAGGTGGAACAAGGAAATGAGAAGTCTATCTCCTATTACAAAACTGCAGTCTGACTGAAAATGTTTTTCAATAGAAAAGTTTAAAGAGTAGATACATTGCAAAGGGACAGCTAAAATCTACAGAAAACCAAGCTGAAATAAGCAACAAATCAAAGGTGGTTTTAAACAACCTGTGACCAAAGCAAATTGCTTTCCCACCCAAACTGCACTGATCTCAGATGTCACTATGTCCAGGTGCCTCACAGCTGCTTCAAGGCACACCAAGTAGGTACAGCCAACTCACTCCTCAACCTGGGCAGCCAGCCCACAACCTACAATACTCAGTATTTACTTCCTACCCCAGACGGAAACTTTAAGGAAAGTGCCTTCACACTACCCCAACAAGTCAGGGTATCACAAAGACTGGGGAACAGACTAGCAACAGGTTATCCTACCCTTCAGCCCACGCTGCCTAGAAGCGACTATTGTGTGAATGGCTGTTTCCTCATGTAGACACTGTCTTGCAGGCAAATGTACAACAAGAATACCTTCCCCAAATCACTTCTGTATAAGCAAAGTGATCAGACTACTACACCTGCAACTTTATTTTAGAATTAATGTGAAATGCTGATGAGCAAGATGATTTTCAGTGATTATTAAATAAAATGCATCACAATCCAATGCAATTCATAAAACGGCTTGGGTTGGAAAGGACCTTAAAGATCATCCAGTTCCAGCCCCCCTGCTGTGGACAGGGTTGCCAACCACTAGATCAGGCTGCCCTGGGTCCTATCCAACCTGGCCTTGAATGCCTCCAGGGACAGGGCATCCACAGCTTCTCTGGGCAACCTGTTCCAGTGTCTCACCACCCTCTGCATGTAAAGTTTCTTCCTAATATGTCACCTAAATCTCCCCTCTCTGAGTTTTAAACCATTTCCCTTTGTCCTGTCACTATCTGGCTATGCAAAAAGTTGCTCTCTCTCCTGTTTATAAGCTCCCTTCAAATACTGGAAGGTCACAATGAGATCTCCCCAGAACCTTCTCCAAGCTAAACAAGCCCAGCTCCCTGAATCTTTCTTTGTAAGAGAGATGCTCCAGCTCTCTGATCATCTTTGTGGCCCTCCTCTGAACCCACTCCAACAGCTCTACATCGTTCATGTGTTGGGGGCTTCACGCCTGGATGCAATACTCCAGATGGGGCCTTACAAGGGCAGAGTAAAATATTCTATCAGAATAATTAAAAAAAAAAAAAAAAATCTTAATTTTTAAAAAGAGCATCGGCATGTTTTTGGTTTGTTTTTCATAGCAAGCCTGAAGGGTGGCAGTACAGTAGACTAACCAAGAAAAGTTTGGCTATTGCAAATAGCAGCTTATGAGTTCACCAGACTGCTCCTTAAAAAAGGGACCTTCTTTCTTGCTACCACAGACATTCATAAACAGACGTCTCCACTACTACCTAGGAAATACAAAACTACTGCTGTTGAGTATACCTCGTATTGCTGTTGCAGGTATATTCAACTCCAAAATGCAGGCCAAAACTGCTTTTAAAAACTTAGAGAAGCTTAACCTTAATTCTTACTCCAGAAAGCAAAGCTCTGAGAAGCCCTCTAAAAGTAAAGACAGTTGTATACAATAGGTCTGTGTTCCCTAAGTTTCATTATTCAGATAGGAGTAATTAATGTTTGCAGATTGACAGATAAGAGATTTATTTACAAACACAATTTACAAGGAAAAACAAAGCAAAAAACACAGGGTGTTTTCTTCCTTTATTCTCAAAAAAAAATGGGCAAAACAACTTACAGTTCACCTTGGTTAAAAAAAAACCACGCACCAGAAAGGTAAGTAATGTAATAGCAACAGAAAACAAGAGAAAAAGTTAACTCTAAATCTAAACAAACGGTGGAATTTCTATCTCTAGCACCAGTGTTATTTCTAAAAGGAACACAACCTTTAACTCCAATGTTGTTTTTAAAAACTTGAAAGCTACAATTATATGACCTTCAAAGCTTTATTCACACAAACATTTGTACCACAGTACCACTCTCAAGCAAAGCTTGTTACAGAATTACTTTAAACCAATAATCAACAGAATTAGCAGACTGCCTCTGATGCTAAATTTAGTAATATAAAGCTCAAGAGATAATTGTTCATTTTAATCTAACATGACTTTATCCAAGCTTAGCTGTTCAAATCCACCAAGAGCAGTAGCTACTTAAGGTCCTTATGAGTATGAAACAAATTTAAATGGTAGGAGCTTGCTACGTGTCTCCATCACATGGTTTGTCTTACTCCAAAAGTCAGTGTATATGAAGTCCTATAAAACTGGCAGAATAGAAAATTAGCAGAACAGAAAATGCTCTGTTTAAGCTCCCTGATACCCTAATAAAATGGTAATAGACGACTTCTGGAGTCTGAGACAGTTCAAAAACATGTATCCAAAAATGCTCCGATGTGACAACCCTGTAAGTACAATTCCACACAGAACTTTCTTTTTTCTAACCGTCATTTTATTAGCTAGATGCCTTTTAAGCTTCATACAAAGAAGGACATTCTTCCCCACATTAACGAGGGGAAGCAAAGAAAATCAAGTTAATATCTCTATGAATTCTCAAATCCTATTACTTAAAAATGGGAACTGCAGAGATCATATATTAAATATGGTTGTAAAGGACATCCAGA